TCTGTGGATACAGGTACCACAAACGTACAAGCTCATCTGCGTGAAATCTTTTGAAAATTCAGTGCTCTACTAAAAGGATAGTGTTGGAAGGGTCTCCTGCACCTTAAATTAGATCTTGTTATGTGATACATGAATTAATTCATATGATCTAGCATGTTGCAATTACGACATTGCTTTAGAGTTTCTCTGAGCTTCCCTTCTTGCAGCCCGTTTTTTTGCTGCAGGTTAGTTCCATGCTTGGATTTTCTGTTCCATATCTGGACAAAATAGACAATCCATCTGTATAACTGATACCTCTGCAACACCTGCATCCCTAGGTGATATTATTTTTAACTAAGATTATTAAATCTTTGTTAAAGGAATTAGGAGGGTCAACTTCATTGCTTTCTACAGCTTCCTCAAGAGAGGACATTGAGAGGGAGGTGCTGATCTCTTCTCTCTGATATCCAGTGACAGGACATGTGGGAATGGTTCAGAGCTGTGCTGGGGACATTTAGACTGGACATTAGGAAGCATTTCTTTACCAAGAGGGTGGTCAAACACTGGAACAGGCTTCCTAGAGAGGTGGTTGATGCCCCAAGCTGGTCTGTATTTGAGGCATTTGGACAATGCTTTAACTTTTGGACCTAAGTTTGAAGCATTTGGACATTGCTTTCACTTTTGGACATGAACTGGTCCACACTTGGACTAGATGATCATTGTTGGTCCCTTCCAACTGAACTATATTCTATTCATCTTTTAGTAGAGCAGGTGGGATTTCTCCATCCTCAGCATTTTACAGGGATGATAAAACTGGTAACTCTGCAGTTGGTATCTCATTTCCTTACTTCATGTATTGTTGGGTTTTCCATTGCTTAGCTGCAGTATTTAATGCTTAAACAGTTTCACTGGAGCTGTATTAGTAATTGTTTGTAACGTCTGTATTATATTTTGAACACAGCAGTATTGCTGTGAATTTCTGACCAATAATAATGGAGCTATGTAAACCTACACCCTACTCTTTAAACATGTTCAAATCCCTGCCGTCTCATTTCACATATGAAAACATATGAAACATCTCAGAAACATTTGAAAATAAATTCATGATTCCCCTCCCTCATGAGATGTAACATTGTGTTCAAACATGTAACTGTACATTCACTCTGATGTGAAATTTGCTGATACTCCTTCTCTGCTGCTGTGTCCTGTGAATTTGCATTTGTCCTCCTTGTCTTATGCCAGAGTTTACGATCTGCAATTAAGTAAGCTTCCAAGCATACTCTTCCCTTCTCAAACTGCAAAATTAGTTCACATCATGAACAAAATAATAAACTTGGTGTGGGTGAAGCACTGTGCTGTCCTATGCTTCCTGTCTAAGCTTTCATGATTCACTGTAAAAAACAGCTTCAGAATTATCTCAACTCCTTTTCCTGTTCGCACTCCAGATTACTTCATAGTCGTATTGGTACACTGAATGTACATCTTTCTCCTTTTGAGATTTTAGTTGCCCCTGTCCTTACAACCTTACTAGCGGAGTCTTTTCCCTCAGTATTAACTTTTTTTTTAATCTCTCCCCTTCCCCTTCCCCCCTAATCATTTCCTCAGAAGAAATTTTTAGTTGCATTTTTGTGTTCCACAGGTTAGGAAAGACCTCTGGATGTCAACTAGTCCAACTCTCTGCTCAAAACCAAACCAGTTTTGATGTTAGATCAGGTTGTTCAGGTCCTTGTGCAGTTGACTTCTGAAAATTTCCAGAGACAGAGGTTTTGCAGCTCCACTGGACAGTCTGCTCCATTCCCCAATTTTAGAGATTTTTTTCCTATAGAGTAGGATTTCTGATGTTCCAACTTTTGTGTTGCCTCTTGTCCTTTACTTTGCACCTTAGAAGTGAAAACTCCTTTCAACTTCTATTGAGGCCAACAATTTAGACTTCCCTAAGCTGAACAATTCCAGTTCTTTCAACTTCTCTATGAGGATAATGTGGCCCCACCCTCTAAGCATCTCGGTGACCTTCTATTAAGCTAGGGATTGTTTTGATATTTTTCTTGCACTGAGGAACCCATTCCATTCCAGATGTGGTCTTAAGTGACAAATGGAGGGGAAAATTCACTTCCCTCAACCTACTGGTTATGTATTTACCAATGCAGCCTTGTATGCTGTCAGTCCAAAGGCTTGCTGCTTGTTCCAGTTTTGTTCATCTTGTCCACCAGGGCTCTCGAAGTCCTCTTTCTCAAGGTGCCTTCTAGCTGGTGAGTGCTGTCCTGTACTGTTGTGTGGTGTCATTCCATCCCAGCTATAGGACTCTGCATTTGCCTTTGTTGAACTTTGTGAGGTTCCTGTCAGCTCATTTACCCATGCTGTCTGGGTCCCTCTTAGGAGCAGCCCTGCCCTCCTGTGTATCAACTTTGAATCACTGACTGTGACTCCAGCAAGTTTTCCACCCACCTTGTAATTTCTCTGTGCAATCCGTGACAGCCTGGTTTGGCTGCAATGATACTTTGAGATGCTGTGTTGAAAGACATGCTACTGTCAAGGAATGGAAATGTGCACTGCTTTCCCCTTGTGTACCAAGATAGACATATCATCATGGAAGGCAATCAGGTTAATCAAACATAGTTTGTCCTTTTTAGATCCTTTCTGGCTATTCCCATGCTTTCTCATCCATCAAGTGCTTGGAAGTGGATTCCAGAAGGATTTGCTCCATGATCATCATGAGCAGTGAGGTTAGGCTGCTGTCCCAGATTTCTGGATCCTTCTTGTTGACCTTCTAGAACACGGACATGACATTTGCCCTTTACCAGTCATCAGGAGCCTCCTGAAATTGCCAGGACTTTTCATAGGTGATAGAGAATAGTAACACTGTTGACTGGCTCCTTCAGCATACATGCATCCTGTGTCATCTCAATGTCTGGTGTATGTCAAGTTTACGTTACAGGTCCTTAATGCAGACTTCCTCTACTGCAATACTTCACTGCCCCATACTGCTCTTAGCTTCAGGGAGCTGGGAGGGCTGTGAGCCAAGCTTGCCAGCGAAGTCTGAGGCAAAAAAGGCAATGAGTATCTTGATCTTCTCCATGTCCTTTGGTGCTAGATCCCCAACCCCACTGAGAGCAGGGGGCCCACATTTGCCTCATTCTTTCTTTCATTGCCAGTGTATTTCTAAAGGCTCTTGCTTCCTTTCATAACCCTGGCTAGTTTCAATTCCAGCTGTGCTTGGCTTTCCCAATTCCATCCTTGGATGCTTGGGAGATTCCTGCTGGGTAGCCCATCCCTGCTTCCATGTTCCAAACCTTTGCTTTTTGTGCTTGTGTTGAGGCAGTGGTTGCCCATTCAGCCAAAGTGGCTCTCTGCCATGCCTGCTTGATTTCTAACTAACTAGAACAGACTGTTCTTGTGCTGTTGAACATGTCATCTTTGAAGATCAACCCACTCTTCTACCATCCACAGCAGCTTTCTACAGGATCCTGCCTGTAAGTTCCCTGCACAAGCCGTAGTCTGTTTTCCTGAAGTCCAAGGTCTGCTATTTTCTTTCCTCAGTTCTCTCAGGGTCTTAAATTCCACCATCTCATGGTTGCTTCAGCCAAGACTGCCACAGACTTTGTTATCCCTGGTCAGTTCTTTTTTGTTTGTGGGTAATGGAGTGCCTTCCTGACTGGACCTGTTGCTCACTTGGGTCAAAAGAAATGTTCTTGATGGTCAGGCATCTCCTGTATTGCTTGTAGCCTGCCAGATTGCTCTTCATGAATATGTAGGAATGGTTAAACTATTTACAATTTGTTTGTTATCATTAACTCTGCTGACAATGTCATCTTTAATGTTGTACAGAATTAACTATATCTCTGATCCTTTTTTTCCTGTATTCTCAGCAGAGATCCCTTTAATGCCTTTCCTGGGATCAAATTCCATGGTCTTTGACCCTAAACAGGGGTCTCGCAATATATACCTCTACTCCTCTCTGAATATAAGCATTGACAGCTTTTCATACAATTTCATGCTTTTTCCTGGGTATAGGTCTTGCTAGAACCAACCTGTTTTGTTTTGTGTTATTCTTTCTCTAAGCATGCGCAGGGGGCAGTGTCAAAGGTTGTCACACTTAAGACAGATTACCTCCAGTGTCATGGATTCCATTCATTGCTCTGATTATCTTTTGTCCTTGTAAAAAGAATAGATTTTAAAAATGTATTTAGCCAGGAATGCATTCATTAGCATGCTACATTTACAAAATTAAAGAGTCTAGGATCTTGCAGTGTTTTTAGAATTTTTCAGAGGTTGAATTTCACCAGTTTCCCTTACAGATTCTTACAACTGCCAATATAAAATACTGAAAGGCAGACCTTATCTGCAGAATATTGCACCAGTGGATACTTGAATCAGAGCATTGTAGACCTAGTTTTAAAAAGTGTATAACTACACATGCAGTGAAGACGGTTAGCAGTTACACAGACATCATAAACCTGAATTAGTATTTCGTATGCAAGGAGTGGATCTGAAGTCATATCTTTGCATGATCTGAAGTTGTACACAAAGGTTACGTAGTTCTATTAGTTGCTGTTTGACTGCTGTTGAACCCTCCCAAGTGTGTGGAGCAGGTTGCACCTGAAGTGCTTTTATGTGTACTGGGTACTTTCACACTCCTGCATTATCAGTGGAGTGTCGCGGATCCTGGCAGCACAGTGGGTGGCAACGAATAATTATCTGAAAATTCAAGATAGGCATCTCAAGTTCTGTCCATTACTGGAGTCTTCATGTAAGCTTGTGAATGATAATTAGAAGTGTGAAATGAGAGTCAGCAAAATCCAAAAGATATTTCAGTTGTTACAGCTAAAGGTAGGTGGTTAATGGTTTCAAAACAAAAATGAAAGGTGATATTAATAGTGACTGCAGATTTCAAGAATTGCCAAGAAGGCTCTAAACATTTAAATAAAAATAGCTTGTTTTGACTCTAAATGAAAAATGTTAGTGAAAATTCTTGTATTCTGTTAATACACACTTTATCACAACTTCTATTTGATTTGTTTTAGATGAGAAGATTGTGGAAAAAATCCGAGCTTTACAAATGAAAGCTGAAGACTATGATGTTGTTAAGGTGATTGGAAGAGGGGCCTTTGGAGAAGTGCAGCTGGTAAGAGTGTAATGATTTGATGATTAGACATATTTACGGCTCTAACCAAAACCTTCCCAGTTTCGCATGCTTTATAAGTGCATTCTTATAAAGAGTAAGCGTTATTTTCATTGTATCATGAGGTCATTTCTGTGCATAGTAAACAGTACGCTAGAGTTTAAAACATTGGATTGGAAGGGAAGGACTTGGGAAACAGTTTGCTATCCTTTGATCAAAATGGAAGAAGCAACTTCATGACAATTCTCAATTTCTTTGCCTGCAAGCATCACTGTATAATAAAATCTGAAACCTTCCTATGAAAGAGCAAGCTGCTCTTATAGTTGAGGTGCTTGCATTGTATTTAACTGATATGACTGATGTAAGAATTTTAAAGACTCTTTTTCTTAGCATTGTCCATTCAGCATTGTGTCCTATATAGTATCTAATGTAAGAATGGGATTAGTTTTTAAACTTATATTGCAAGAAAATTCTGTTTTAAAAAAGAGCAATCAAAGTACAAAAAAACCCCTTAGTATATCATGCATAGTCTGCTTTTAATTTAATTTTGTATTTGTATTGTGTGACTTCCAAGTCATACTGTGTCATAAATAGCACAAAAATGTGAGCATATGTGTAAAATAGGTTAGTATGTCCGTTTTGAAAAAAGCTATGGGTGTAAGCACCAAGTAGAATTGAGAATACAAACACCAGGGACAGGTTATGAGCTAACAGATAACTGTCCATCAGCTGATCCATGATAATTTTCTGTGTAAGCATTTTTAGAGGGCGAGATGTGAAGCAAGTCAATGGAAAGGGGATCAACTAATTTGCAGTAATTGAGGCTAGTTATCTTGTTACCATAAGGTAACAAAAATTACCATTTTGCTTGTTCCTTTTGACACAGAACTGATCTTTTACTGTTCTGTGCTAATTCTGCTCTAGGAAGCTGGGAAAATCATACTGTCTTGTAAAGCAATTTTGCAAAATACAAAAGATGGATTTTTTTTTTTTAAGGAATGTGTCAAGATCTTGTCTCTGAAGTGCTTATAGAAGGTACACAGAATGTAATAGCAATACATTTATTATCAATTTATAAAATTATATGTGTTTTCCTTATTAGTACTGGTGAAATTGGTTGGAACTTGGAGGAAAAAAAACCCCTGCGACTAGCCTAACGCTATTTGCCCAACTCATTGGTAATTTGCAAATTTAGATGTAATTTAGGTGGTAGTTAACATTTAATCAGCAATTTTTATTCATTTATGTAGTATTTTTAAGACAACTTCATCCAAGTGTGGCAATGTGAGAGTGTAGCTCCCTCTCCCCTGTTTCTTTCTGCGTCATTTGCATTTTGTTTTTATCCAGAAGAATTTATGAAGTATGGAGAGGAGTATTTCCAAAGATTCCCATTTTTAACAAGACTTCAAAGAATTAATGTGTGTCTTTATATGCTTTTATATCCTCGCTGGTAAGAGATTAAAAACAATACCAAAACCTTCTGCAGAACCTTACTCATTTGAGAAGGGGCTGCTGCAGGGAGCTTTGTAAGAAGGTGGTCTACTCTTTGTCTTTTCACTGACAGTCATGTCAAATGGTTTGGTTTAAAGTCTTTCATAATGCTTTTTTTTTTTTTTTTCATTATATATATATATATCCACTTAGAGTATCTAATAGAGATGCTCCTTTTTCATGCACTTGCATGGGAAGTCAGTGAACAATCAAGTTGTAAGGAGCAGAGTTCCTCTGAAAAAGAGAAGATCCTAATAAAAGAAGTCATAGGCATTTTTTCAATGTCACACTGATCTATTTGTTGGAAGCATCCAAGAGAATTGTATTTTTAATGTGCTTCAAAACCCAGAGTACATTATTTTCATATGTATATTTTGAAGAACTTAAGAGTTTTTCTAAATGATTTTTCATTTTCTCTTTAATATTTCATTTACAGTCCAACATTAATTTGTTCTCGCTTAGAATGGAAACTTTTTTTCTTGATTTGCTGTGTCATGAACAATTTAAATTCTGAAGTAGAAATGATTTTTTCACAGTGTATGTACCGCAGATAGGTAGTTTGAGGGGTCTAAAAAACTACCTCTCATTTGCCTCATCATTATAATGTAATGGTAGAATGCATAGTAACTTGGTCATATAATGATGGGGTTTGGGTTTTTTTGTTGTTACTGGTTTTTAAAATTCTTTAAATAAGCCCTTCAAGTCCCAAAATAAAAAAAGCTAAGAATGCTTGGTACTAGAAGGGAACTTCTGTGTGTTCATACAGAGCTCTTCTGTACTTCATGCTAACTTAAAAGAACATGTTTTTTCTGGAATGTGAAAATATAAGTAGAAATCATAATACTGTGCAGTCTTACAGCTAAAAAGCAGTGGGTTAATAAATGCAACTGTAGATCTGAACTAATATTAGCTGGTGATGAGGGCGTACATACCTAAATTTTTTGCCTCACAAGGTATGATACAAGTTTAAACTATTGAGCTAAGCTATATTTATTTCTACTCCATTCAAATTGTTAACACCACGGTTGCAGTGATGGATTTGCAGTAATCAAAGTATTTTGCAACATGTTCTGTGATCAAAATAGAAATTTGCTTCAGTGGGGGCTAAACACAGAAAGAACCATAAATAAAACATGATTAAATACATAAATTGATAACATGACATTCATGAATTTATTGTGTGCTGTAGTGCATAAATATTTGCAGCTGAAATATTTGTTAAATGTTTGTAATAGTTAAATACAAGTCAAAAAATGCTGTTAATATACAGCATAAAATAGCCAGCTATGACCTCCTTCATTTAATTTTGTTTCCCCCAAGCTTTCTGTTCCAGTACAGCATTTTCTTGTGAAAGAAGTGGTGTGAAGATGTCAGTTTTCCAGATTCAAGCACGAAAGCAAAACACATTCTCTACTGTTGTTATCTTACAGTGAGATTTTTTAATTTTTTTTTCCTTTTGGTAAAGGCCTCACTTTTCCCCCCTTCCTCTCCCAGAAAAATTTAAAAATTCAATCCAGTAAAGACAGATCAGATGACTCTGGTCTGAGCATCTGTCTTTCGAAAAACAATTTTCTTATAGCTCCAAAAGTATTAAACTCTCTTCCTGAGCTCTGGCCTCTGGCTTTGCTGGGTCTGTAGTGATGGGGAAAGCTAAGAAAATAATTGTCAGCTGCCAGATCACTTCTTCTCTTATACAGTGCTGTGGATAAACGTGACTGGTGTCTAGGGCAGACAGAAAAATTGAATTATGGTGCTTAATATGTTACTTGTGGTTTATGCAGAAATAGTAATTTATGAAAGCTCATCCTGAGTACCTCTTGTTTGTTTTCACTTGAAAAATCCTCTTGATTTGAAATTGAAACGTAGCCTTAGTTCCTTCTCCCAGATCTAATCACAAACTGCTGTAACATTGCAGTGACACAGCAGACTGACTTGATCATGTACTGGAATAGAAAACCAAAGCAAAGCCAACTCTTTTGTGTATTTGGTTAGTAAAGGATGGTCTTTATGATAGTCCTTACTGTGTGATTTCTTAGTTTTGCAAACAAGTGGTTGTCATGGCGTATGTAGACAGGTGCTGGTTTAGTTTTTTCCATTAAGTGCTTTGTTTATTAGGTTTAGTTCCCCAGTCACTGCTAATGTACCTTCTCTAGTAATGCAAATAAAGCAGTCATGGTCTAGTACCTGAAAATCTGTCAGGACGTGAACTTTGGTAGCCTATCGGTAATAATTTCTTATGGCTGTCTTAAGTATGAGGATATCTGTGATTATTTCAAACCTTAGAGTTAATTTCACAACTCCATTCTAGGATCTTAATTTTCTTTAATCACGGAAGAGATAGTACTGTTATCAATACTACGTACTTGACCTGAGAACTTCAAATGGATATGTTATTTTCTTCACCTACGGATTGTCTTCTGACATGAATGCTGTAGAAATTATGGATGTGTTTTGTATGTACTTGTTTCTTGAAAGTCTTACGTTGATGAAGCAGAGTAGGGGGAAATTCTTACTTCTTAATGCATTTTCATAAGTTAAATGAGGCCATGTTACTCAGTGCTGATGGCACGAAGGGATTTTCCTACCTATTTTGAGAGTTACTGTGGTGAGCTGCAGTTTAAATTTGGCAGTTCATTTAAACAGTTGGAAGAAATTGAAACATCATGACAGTTTAATACATGAATAATCTGCTATATGAGCCAATATATGTATGTACAAATATAGCTCTGGGTAAAGAACAGTGGCTAACAGCTAAAAAGGCTGTCTCCAGAGGTCATGGTGGCGATATAAGGAGTAATATCAGTAATAGGTCTGTTCACGTGTATGGCATGCCAAGACACACTCACTCTTTGGGTGTGCCGGTCTGCTGGTTGTTGCTTCGGTTCCTTGATTGTTGTACAGAGAGTGAACCTATCTTGACACTTTCTCAAGAAATAACTTAGCCAACTAATAACCTATTGGCACTACCTTAGATAGGTGCACAGACTGTGATTTCTGGTCCCCCCACCCCTGTTTACTTCACTTCTCCTCTGCACGAGCTTGCTTCAGGCTGTGCTGACTTTTTGAGATTCTTTTTTCCCAAGTGATGGGAGACAAATGCATACAGCTATACTAACTACATCCAGGCAAGAGTATACACTGCTTTTAGGAATTGTAACCTACTAAATACCTTGCAGAGCTTCATGAACTTTCACAGAAAATGCATCTTCAATTAAACCTCTTCTTGAGGTCGCTGGTCTTTGTGTTTCTTCTGTTTTTGAGCAGGATTACAAAAGCTCTACTTTATGTATAGTATGTGGTATACCACCAAGTCTTTGTAAACAATCCCATGTAGGATTAGTAAATGGGAAGGAGGTAGTTTTCAAAATCCTGTTTTAGGACACCTTTGCTAGCCAGTTAATTGTTAATGTCTTAAAATATACATGCTTATAGAGTTGTTAATGCATGTAGATAAAGTGTTTCTGTATTCGTGTATGGTTGGAGTTCTTTTGGATCTATCTAGCTGTACAGAAGGTTATTGGTTAGTGTTAGAATATGCAAGATACTAATCCTAAAACTTTTGTACCTATATCTTGAGAGCAAAAAGCCCCTATTTCAAGAATGGTAAGTTCATAAATAATCATGTTTCTCTTCATGTTCTCACTCTTTTCAGGATTTCCCCCCCACCCCTAATGCTTCTCCTGTTTCTAGAGATCGTACTTGTTGGCTTCAGAAACACTAGTGTTTACAGCTCCTCAGGAGGAGACTGATGCTTCCAGATCTGTAGACCACGTAGATGCCTCTCTGTAGCTTTGCACTGCAGACATAATGGACCTGAAACATTTACAGTTGTTCAGGAAGAGCCTATTAGACACTCTTTCGTTTAGCGTAATTAAATTTGAACATTGTGTAAAACCGAGAGGTTGAGGGATATGGTTTATTTTACTAAATGTGAGGGTTTTAAATGCACCAGAAAACTGTAACAGTTTGGCTCTGATTTCACAGATTAGTCCACTGAATTTTTTATTTTAATGTGAATAAAATATGCAGAAACTTAAGATGCAGTTAATTTCTTTTTTTCTGCTGACTCTGACATCTTGCAGCTGAATGCTTCTCACCTTGATTTCTGCAAGGAACACTCAAGAATGTTAAATAAAGCTAGTCCTTTAGTAGTTGTTTTGTAAACTAACATAAATCTAATATTGTTTCATTAGCAGAGTAATGACTTTACAGTCTGTACTTTTAAAGATATTTTTTCATGTCCATATTCAGATGAAGTTTTAAAAAAGGTTTTAATTTCAGTTTATGTTATTAATTTTACACCATTTAAAGTGAATTTAAGAACTACATAAATAGGAGCAATCTTTTTTTGAAAAATAAAAATTGGAAGAGGCTGAAGTGGACAGGAATGAATGCAATGGATATAGATGGTGTTCAGAATACAAAAATATAAGCAGAGTTGCGTTTTACTTCTTAGATGATGGAACTTTTCAAGGGGGAATAGACAAGCATTTCCTTTTTCTGTAAATGGAATTTATTTCTGGGTGATTTGAAGTAGGCATGTTCACTCAGAAACATTAAGAGCAGCAATCCAGTCCTTTAAAGATAGTACTTTTCTCATTCTGAGTTTTGGGTTGGGTTTCTTTTTGGGTTTGGTTTATTTTGTTGGGGGTTTTTCCCCCCCAGTTTTAATTTGAGTAAGCAGACTTTTGGAGTTAGCTCTCATTTTTATGCTCATAGCCATAGGGAGGAATAACACATGCTCATACCACTGCTTCTTCAGTTAAAACAGCTACCTCCTAAGAGCTCCTGCAGCCCTGCGGCATGTTCTTCTCGAGGCCCTGCAGTTCCTCTTCTGAGGTTGCAGCAGCGGCTGCAGCAGTTGGACAGGCTCTGGTGTGTTTTCCTTTGTTTGGCATCCTTCTTGTTCCACCCCTGCTATGTTTTTTTGGAGCAGCTGTTAGGATTTTCTTTCCAGGTTTGGAAGTTCTCTAATCCTTACTGTATAGAAAATAGGGTGTATGAAGACCTGGAGGCATTGCATCCCAGAAAGCAGTTCACACACTGGAGAAATATACTCTACTGGTATTCAGGTTTTTTTTTACAAGGCATTTTAAAAAAGTTGTTTCTCTTCTTTCTCAACCAACAGGTTCGCCATAAAATGACACAGAAGGTTTATGCAATGAAGCTACTTAGTAAATTTGAAATGATCAAGAGATCAGATTCGGCCTTTTTCTGGGAAGAAAGAGATATTATGGCCTTTGCGAACAGTCCATGGGTGGTTCAGGTAAGGAAGAAATGTAAGAGTAAAACAATAATAATTATAATAAAGCCATAAATTTTTCCCAGTCTTGAGCTGGTTTTGATTTTACATCTGAATTCAAATCATGGTTTAGGTTCAGATTTTACTTAGCAGTTTCACTGAGTTTTGTGTATTTGGCTGAGTTAGAAAGTAGATTAATTTACATTTTAGTCACTACAAATCCACCATAAAACAGCATTAAACAGATTTGTGACATATCAACATAATTGTTTGGAATAGAGAGGTTACCTTTCCAACTAAGAAAAATTATCTATAGAAACAAATGTCAGCATTATTTCCAGTCTTTCCTCATGGTACAGTCAGTTTGATTACAGGCGATTGGTATTAAGAGTGCTTGAAGTAGTTACTGTCTTTTCATCTGCAGTTTGGTAGATGGGTAAGTGTATACTCCTGGTCTCCTGCAAGGCAGAAGGTTGTAGCATGGTTTGCTTAAACCATCCTCTCTTTAGTGGTCAGTTAGTGCATTTCAGCTCAGAGGTGATATCCCGGTAGTAGAGAGCTGACAACTTCAGCTGGTATTGAACACTGTTTCTTGCAGCTATCTGTCTCATGACATGTATCATCATCATGTTTGTAATATGAATTATGCCTTTGGGAAGAATTTATACTGAATATTGCAATTTGTTGTAACTGGGAAATTACACTAATTAATAAAAAAAGTACTGAAAGCATATGCTTAGAGAAATTGTTAGTATTTAATTTTGTTAAATAATTAATACATTCAAATGATCTCACATATATTGCCGTGCTTCTGTGTATTTAATAAGTAAAGACTGGCTTTAAGCTTTCCATATAGACCATGAAGTCCATAGCACTTCCTGTATGCAAGAAATGCTTTACAAGGTTTTTTTTTTATTTAGATGTTTTGCCCTTCTGAGCATATTCTGTGTTCTTGCCTATATTCAGTAGCAATACTTAGGCAAATAGATGAATTTTTATTGAGTCCTTTGTTTTTGATAGTAGTTGTGTGGAATTATTTTCATTATTCACATGCAGTTGAAAGTAATGAGAATTGTATGACACTCGATTTTCAAAAGAAGGCATAGCAAGTGAGATATAAGTGTGTGTATTTGTAAATTGCAAATGAATTAAAGTTGCAGTTGTGCCTTCTATGATGAAGTGTATTAGTATGCTATAGTTAGGTGATGTGGTCCAGTGGGATAGGACATTGAGCTGGTTTTAAGAAAATGTAGGTCCTGTTCTGAGCTAGAAACTGGGACAGATCACACTGCTTCTCTGTGCTTTCTTTTAAGTGAAAAGTGAAACCAGAGCTCTAGATAATTTTATATTTTTTTTTAAGGAAATCTCTTGAGGGCAATAACAAAAGTGCTGTATAAAGGCATAGCATTGTTACTTGTAATTGTGTTATATTAATGTCTTCACATGTGAATACAGACACTATTTTTGATTTTTAGATTTAATTGCCAAATGCATTATCATATTATATATTGTTTGTGCTATCAATTTATGAAAACAAATACAGGGCAATATATACGTAATAAAATATGTATTTATAATATAGGTCTTCTGTTGCTAATATACAATAAGTTTTAATATAAAGGTCAAATCTTAACATTCCTGGCTTTCATGGTTCTTCATCTTCACAAACCATGTTTTTGCCTTCCTCCTTTCCACACATCCTCTTTTCCAATTGTCTTTGAATTTTGTGTGGGTAACTTAAAGATGTGAATGATTTTAGGTTTTAATGTAAAGGAGCAGTGTTCCCTGAGAAATAAAGCAAGAGGCTTTCAGAGACTTTTTCACACCAGTCATTGAACGATTGATAGTAGTGATTTTTGCTGGTTTGGGCCATTTTCAGACCTGGTGACCTCTGGGTGAAATCTCTGAAACTTCAGCACTTGGGAGTCCGAATAGTCTAAAGAAACTAATCTTAGTCTTTCTTATTTCAGTGTATGTGTTGATTTAGGACAAAATCAGTAGTGACAAGTATTTTTGTAAATATGTACAGAGATAACAAGATTTATAATAAAATTTAGAAACAGTCTCAGGTGCAGTTCACTGTTGAGCTACCTTCAAATCAATATACGATGCTCCCTTTCTTGGATTTGATGTTTTGCATTTTGACTCAGTGATACTTTTTAATGTCAAGAAACACAGGTATATAGAAGCTCATACTACTAAAATAACCAAGAAATCTTTTTTGCTGGAGGAAGTTTTGAAGTTCAGAAAATTTCAAGGTACTGTCATAACTAATAGAAAATATAGATTGTTTGAATATAAAAAATGTAGTTACTTTACATCAATCTTGGAAGCATATGCTCAGGTTTAATGAAACTTCAAGACAGAGTGCTTTATTCTTTTTCCTAGCTGTCTCTGAAAAGTAATTGCACTTTTCCTTTTTTTTTTCAATGTTGCAGCTATTTTGTGCCTTTCAAGATGACAAATACTTGTACATGGTAATGGAATACATGCCAGGTGGAGATCTTGTAAACCTTATGAGCAATTATGATGTGCCTGAGAAATGGGCCAAGTTCTATACAGCTGAAGTTGTTCTTGCTCTTGATGCAATTCACTCCATGGGCTTGATACACAGAGATGTGAAGCCTGACAATATGCTTCTTGATAAATATGGGCATCTGAAGCTGGCAGATTTTGGCACTTGCATGAAAATGGATGAAGTAAGTATGCAACTGAATAATTTGTCATCTCTAAAACTGTTATTCTGAGGTTATTTGCTTATGCATTATAATACCCAAAGGAGTATTCATCAAATGGTCCACGTGGTTGGGAAGCTGTTCCTTGTCTCCTAGTTTTAAATACAAATGTACTTTAAATAGTGTAACCTTGTCTATAATAAACTGTTCTGGAACATGGAAGAAGGATGTAAACTTACTTTTTGTTGTTTTTGAAAGCATGTGTGTTTATGAATTTCAGAAGTTCTTTTTTTCTTTTTTTTTTTTCCCCAAATGTCGGAAAAGCTTAAGAGACAACTCCTAGTTTCAACGTTACTAACCCTGGAACAGTTAATAAACTGACATTTTTCTGTAAATTAAATTATTTTATAGGCAAGATACAGTCTTGTTTTTTGGTGTTTTGTTGTTTTTTTTTTTTACTGTGTCTAACTGTTCTCATAGCATCCTCTAGTGGTCATTAAAATGAGGTCACAGTAAGGCAGCAGTGGTATGTGATATATTGATTGAAATTTCTTAGCTGTTTGTCAAGATGTCATACATTTTAATTTCGGAGATTTTACCATGTGCAGCCAAATACAGTTTTCTAATGAGATTGTATAAGAATATTTCTAAGAGGATGTCATACTTTATTATTAAAGGAGACTTAAAAGTAAAGGTACCCTTTGTAGTTTTCACACTTTTAAAGTCTTCCCTGACAAACAGTGTTATGCTGCAATTTACGCAATATATTCTTCCTGTGAAAAATTATAATGGATGCTAAAAAAACTCCACATGAACGTGTGTTATGGTTTGCCTGGCCTTTGGAAGGTTTCTGTATTAATGTTGGCAAGGATGGTCCTTTTAAGCTTATTTGCTTTAATGTGTTAGATTTTTTTTTTTTTTTCCCCTGTATAGTTTGGGTAGTGCTCGGTATAATCTCTGCAATCTCCTTAATTTACATTTGCATCATTAAGTTAATGACTCTTCAGCTGTATCTACAAGTACTGTCTGGTTAGGTTTTCTTTACTGTGACTATATTCACTTCTGTGAATAACTACAGCTGTTTACTGAGGTTCAATAGTCTGTTTAGTTCTGCTGCAGTTGTTACTCTGAAGGCAGATAGATTGTTTACCTCCACTTTGATTATTTACTTACCTATATTTTAGGGGACAGGATTTACTTTAGTTGAAAAAATCAAAAGCAGTTCGTGATCTCTTAATTTAGTCCTTAAAAAAATTAATCTTGGTTTTGAGCCAGTGGACTGTAGGTCTTAAGAGAATCTGATGTTCGTCAGAACAGACAATAAGAAAGCATCAAAAAGTTCATAATACAAATTTACAGAAAAGGGATGATCCTTTATGCTGTTTTAGGGATCTCAGAAATGGTGAGCCCAAGATTTTCTTCCTTTTTTGTTGTTGGTTGTTAAAGAAATACTAAAATGTGATGATCATATTATAAACGTGAGAAGTATATGCACATTTCTTGTAAAGAGTTATAGTGAGCTTCATTTTGGACTGGGCATCATCAGTGAACCAGTGATGTCCTAAAGAAGTTAACTTTTTAACAGATTACATTTTAAATTCTGCATGTTTCTCAGACTCAGTGGAATGGCAAAAATTTTTTTATACAGGAAGCTTTAGAAGTTGAGAGGTTCTGGATTGTCTCCAAATCTCATGCTACTTCTTACAAAACATGAACACATCCCAGCTGTGTAAATACAATATTGGTGTTGGCAGGATGATTTCTAGAAAATACATGCTTACCCAATACTTATTTATTTTTTCTGATTTGGAGTTCTCTTAGCAGTTGTGCATATTAGCATCTTCCTTATGCTGTTGAGAGCCCAGGAAATTTCTGCTGCAATTTGGTGAGAGACCTTTTTTGACCTTTGCTGTGGAATTGAATTCAGTGTCCTCCTAAGTCTTCCAGGCCAGTCCATACACTTGCAGCAGAATTCCTCCTTACCAGTATGTGAAAAGAATTGCTAAGTGTTTTGGTGATCTTTTCCAACATAAAAGGAATTGGCCTGTTCATGTAACTCAGTTGCGATGGTTTGGGGGTTTGGGGTGGTTTTTGTAATTTTTTTTTTTTTTTAAAAACCTGCAACAAGGTGAGTACCTCTATACTTGAATAAAGAATGGAATTGGCTTAGTAGGAATTGTGGTTCCATTTTGGGGTATATATGGATTTCACCAGACTCTGTAATCTTCAGGTTTTCTATAAGGAAATAGACAGTAGTTGGCTTTGCTAGCTATCATAAAGCTAGGAACTCCTGCTGTGGCCAGGTTCAGTACATAATGCTATCTTGTGCTAAGCTTTTAGAAGAGCACAGGTTTAAAGGATATCTATTGAAAAAAGATGTGACCAAAAGAAGGGATGTTTACCATTTGGGATTATCATCTCAGAGGAACATGTTCCTCTTTTTAGAGCTCAATTTATTTCTCATTGAAGCTCATCCAAGACTCTGCTGGATCCTTCTTTCTTCAGTTCACTGTCTGCAGCAAGCTGCACAAGCCCAGGTGAAGTGTTAACACCTGATCTGAGCTATCATAATGTTTCAATACAAGTGCTCTTCAGCTCTTGTATACTGAAAAGAACTTCATGAGGAGCAGTGCAAGTCTGATTCTCAGCCTTGGTTCAAGACAGCAAGTCAGTCAGGTCTGATGGAGATCCTCCTGAGGATGAAAACTGAACTGCTTTGTATTCAGTAATATAATTCTGAACGATAATAGGAAACACTACAGCCTCACCGCCAAGTTGTCATAAGCTGTGAGAACATGCTGTCTGTCCTAGACAGCCTTTTAAAAAATTCTACACTGTACCTTTCTCACATAGCTGCAGGAGATGGATTCCAAGATCCACCTTGATCATTTGAGGTGGTGAGAAAAGTCTTAGGCAAAACACTTTCCTGAGACTCTCGAACAGAAGCTCTGTATGAGAGCTACTATAGTAAGTGTACTATTCAGGCATAAAACAGAGGCTTTAGTATTTGAAACACAGGAGTAACACTTTGCCCAGAGAAAATAGCACCCTTTAGATCTATCTCTTCAAATGTTGAAGTACGGATGACGGAAGCCACCATGCAGAACATAAGGACTGTCAAAATGTCATGTACTGCACAGAGGACCCAGAGATCCTAATAGAAGCTAGTCTGACTGTGGTATTAAGAGTATCCAGTACTTCAAAATGCATTCAGAGCAACACCTAAGTTCTTTGAAAGAACAAGTATATAAATGAGAGGAACAGAAATCTGGGAATATTATATTCAGATGATAATGGACCAACCTCCCCAAGGATGTGTTAGTATCCCCATCGCTGGAGGTTTTTCAAGCTGTGATCAGACAGGGTGCTAGGTAGTACCATCTGGGCTCCCTTTCCCATGGCAGATTGTTCCAGATCATCTTTAAAGTTCCCTTTCAACCTGGGCTGTTCAGTGATTCTGTGAATGCATTTTTACATTTGTTCCTGAGACAGAAGGTAAAGAGTTTTACAGGGAGTAAGTACAATCAAAACTTTTCTGAAGTTTGTCCTTGAATTTAGTGAGATAAAAAGCAGTCTGATACAGTGTGTAGCTTCATATTGAAACCAATAGTAAGAGTAATAAAATCGGTCAATTCTTGAAAGATGTAATCAAGAAAAACTGCTAGGGAGTAGGCAGGGGAGAGCCCGTTACCAGGAACTGCTATTTCAGTCCATATTGCTTCTGGAATAAAAACCAGTGTCTTTCAAATACATTCCTCAAACCAAATATTTTGGGCTATATTTTTTATGTTTTTCTGGTCTGCTAATAGACAAACCGTTTAAAGACTCAAAGTATTTTTAATGAAGCTGTTTGAATTGCTCTTGCACAGACAGGTATGGTGCGCTGCGATACAGCTGTGGGTACCCCTGACTACATATCGCCTGAAGTTTTGAAATCACAAGGGGGTGATGGTTATTATGGACGGGAATGTGACTGGTGGTCTGTAGGAGTTTTCCTTTTTGAGATGCTAGTTGGTAAGTGGTGATTTCTTCTATTAATGAGATTATCGTTCAGTCTTTACTGTGCTTTTAGCTGTACTTTGCTGTGAGGGGCTGGTTGTACCTCACTATCTTAACAGCTTCTGACTTTTGGCTGGTGCTGTTATGCCATTCCTCTTCTCTTTGCTGTTGCTCTTATGCTGTGACAGCTGTTTGCGTGCTTGCTCAGTGATTAGTTCCCTGACTCGATTCAGCTTAAAACTAATCCTTAGAATAGTTCTAAAGGAGATCAACTACCTCACCATCTCATGAACATTAGTGCCACATCAGGAGCAGTATAGAGTATTCAGGGATGCACAGATGGGAAAGGAGTCGGAAGGGCAGAACTGCCTTTTTAAATTTCTTTTTTTTTCCTTCCCCACCCCCATACTAGAAATGGCTTCTGTTAGGTCAAAATATCTGTGGAAGTATGGCTTGATTCTTTCTTTTATGCTTAAGTCAGGATTTTTCAGTAAAATATACTGGACTGCTATGGCAACGAATATAGAATATAATCTGTTAAAGAGATGAGTCATTTGCATCTTAAAATACAGTGAGGATCAGTATTATAGTCTGGTAGCAAAATACCGATTATAGAAGGATGGAATTGAGCATATAATTATTAAATATCCAAATCAGCATGTTCTGGGAATATTGGAGATTGGATGTTTCTGGTATCCTGAGCCAGGAAAGACATTAGAGTATATGATGATACTGCAATCTCTGTGTCTTTCAATAGTGAGGCATTTTGACTTTCAAAAAGTGTGTTTTATAATTAAGACACTCATAAACAATTTTAGCAATAAAGTTCTTTAGTTACTAAAATTGGACATGGCTGTCCAGAATGTTTTCTCAGAGCCTCTTTTTTTTTTTTTTTTTTTTTTTTTTTTTTTTTTTTTTTCTTGTATCTGAGAGAGAGGATTCTCCCCTTTTTATCCTTCTAATGAAAACATATTTTTGGAGTAAAATCTTACTTTGTTTCTCCATATCCCATACATTGTTTGTGTATCAGGTTCTGCCTATGGTCTTCTAAAACTTTATGCCTTAAAGCACAGAAAGGGTTGTGTTGTTCTGGTTTTAGTAAAGATGCAGTACTAACTAAAATAGTACTACTTTTTATTGTGTGCTTAACTGAAAGCTAAAATGTTAGGATTCATCCCATGACCAACATTAATTTGGTGACTTGGGATGGTTTTGAGGTGTGGCATAAATCAAAGCTGTTTCTGTGACTGAAGGCAGTTGAGAAGGGGAAATTTTGGAAAGAGGGATGCAGCAGCAAATAGTGATTTCCCCCCCCAATATACTGGTATGGCAGCCTTAATCAACTTACTGAAAATCTAGAAGTGTAATTCAAGCTGGTGTGTACTAATTTCTTATTTTGTCATAAAATGACAGAAGCTAAAGGTAGGTTTGTTGAATTTGTGTTCTTTTTGAAAGCTGAATGTTTTTGTCCATTGGTCTGTTGATAATCTTTTTCATGTACCTAGATTTTGCAATTTTCAGTACCTTGTTGGAAGCATGCAGTCAGCATGCTGACTGCTCTGCCAGGTGATCCCCACCTGCACAAAATACACCAGCACAGAGGAAAGAGCCTAGCTCCTGTCAGTGATTGTTCACCTTCTCTATTAAACCTATGGATTAGTTGTGAGAAAGGATTTATGTAAAAATTGCAGCCTCTTGATTACTGATGCAAACCAATACAAAATGTTCAGAATGTTGTCAGTTAACTTGAATGTCAGTTATCTTTACCGATGCTGACTGTTCTGAGTTGTCCCAGTTTTACCTTTCTTAAGGATATTTGCAAAGAAACTAGACTTAACTGAAGCCTATGCTGCAAATCTTTGGGTGAGAAAGGTCTATGGTTTTAAAAGCCACCTGTCCATGTTAATATGTGCACCCAAGCTAATATAATTTATCAGTCAACAAGATTTATTCATGTGAGTTTAACAGTGCAGGAACACACTGTGAAGGCTCCTGCTCAGAGCTGACTTGCCTTAGGCAGCTCCAGGGTTAAGTAGGGTAAACCTGTGTGCCTTGAAATAGTCTTTGGAGGGCTTTGGTGGATTCTTTCCAACAAACGTGCATTAGCAAATCTTTAATGAGTTTTGGTCCATTACACCCATGAGAGCTCTTAAAGATGGGGATTTATGTGGGTGTTGGCCATCATGTAAATTAGAAAACACAGCGATTGTCTTCAGGTAGAACAAAAGATGTAAATCATTGGGCAAAATTTTGGTAGTGATATGCAGAATAGAAAATGGTTTAGGTAGTAACACAGGCATTTTAGGGAAGGAATATTTTTAGTAGTAGACGTTATTTTGTACCCTGCATTCCAATTTTACTGTGTTTTAAAATAAAAGACCATTTTGCATAAAACTGCTCCTAGAATTTTCTTTATAACTTTTGTCTTTTTTAACTTACATGACTTGAACATGACTTAAAATCACAGTCACTTTACTATTTTATTTTCAGGCGATACTCCTTTTTATGCAGACTCATTAGTAGGAACATACAGTAAAATTATGGATCATAAGAACTCATTACATTTCCCGGATGATGTGGAAATCTCTAAGCATGCAAAGAACCTTATCTGTGCCTTTTTAACTGATAGGTAAGTGCATGTATTATTCTAGTACTGTTTTTATTTTGGATGGTATTAGCACATTATAAAATTAATTCCTTCCATTACTTTTCCTAATCTCTGTTCAAATATCTTCTGCAAAATCTCCTGCTCTCTAGTTTTTCTTCTGGGGTGTTTTTTCCAGGTATTGTATTTTATTTCTATGAGCAGTTCTGTCAGCTCTTGTTAACAACACAATTTGTGCCAAACAAATCCTTCCAGTTGCAGTGTATAATACTGTAACAAACCTGTAAAGTTGAAAGTAATTTGTAAGCTCTAAGGCAGGGACCAGATTGTGCTCAGCGTCTTAATTGGGTGTTACTTTAAAAAATGAAAGCAAATACTTTTATGAAAATAAGCATGTATTTACTGAGTTTGTTTAAGCTTGCTTAGAATGTTTGTACTTTTTTTCCCATTTCCTTCGTTGTATTAATTGACAAGTACAGCTAACAAACCAGCAAGGATATTGTTTTGGCTATAAGTAGGTTCTAGAAGTCTCCCTTTGTGGAACGGAGCTGTTTATTAAACTGTGTAAACTTGTTTTTAACCTGAACACTTACATTTTCTTTAGTTCAGGAAAGCAGAGATAATCTTTAATTTCTCTGATTTAAAAGAAGAACACTGTACGTCCGTAGTTAACTCTGTATTGATGATGTTGCCTTCTGCTTTCCTGTGGTCACCTGAACTTGGCTACAGCAGAGCATTTAGCCTTTACAGAATGAGGGATTAGGGGAAAAAAACACTGCCTTATAAAGGTTTTTGCGTTCCAAGAGAGATTGTTTGCTCTGTTGAGCAAGATCGTGGTTACTCAGGAAGGATGTGCTTTAACAGCATTTTTTACCCTTAGTAGCTGAAGGGTAGAGAGAAAATATGAGGAGAATTTAATAATGTAAATGTGGCGAGGTGTACTTCCACTATGTGTGTCTGTCTTCCTGTTTATATTTAATACAGTGCTTGAGGAATTTATTTGAAACAGATGCCTTTTTTTCTGTATGTGTGATCACTGCTGAAGCACTTACGGAATAAGCAATGACCTTATGATTTATTAGTTCTTCTACACACAGTATTTTTATGTCCTGTTTTTGTCGATAGTTTTAAGAGAGACTCTTCCAGGCAAACCCAAAGTTTCTTGTTGCTCTTAAGATTTACTTCACTGCAAATATCAGCAAAAGATGAGTAAGGGTTAGTTATGGGGCAGAGGATGGAATTCTTAAAATATTTATTTCAATCCAGTTTTGAATAACTGTTCTGTGCAGTAAGTTAGACCTTCCTTTGCTTGCGTCTTAAGGTTTGTCATGTGGTTTGGCAGACATGGAACTTATGCAGTTCTTTTCCCCCTGAGGGTGTTGGGGTTTTGTTTGTTTTTCTTTTTTTAGTTTTTTCTTAGTTTTTGCCTCAGTACTTGCTTTCTTGATTTACTCCCCATGTGGCAGACTCCAAATCCTGGACATTTTAGCAGTCCCAGGGAGAGTCCCTGCTAAGAAACAGAATACATGTTATAGAAATGTAAAGAAACTACAGATCAGTGGTTGGTGGTTTTAAATTTTTTTTAATGTATTTGAGCATTAATGTGGTTAACACAGACAGTCTTTACTGAAAGTTTCTTTGCTTCTTGTGAGCAAGTCAGAAGTTAAATAGCAAACAAGTGTGAATTTGGCTTAATTGCTGTGTTTAGGGATGTGCGACTTGGGAGAAATGGGGTAGAAGAAATAAAGCATCACCCTTTTTTCAAGAGTGATCAGTGGAACTGGGACAACATTCGAGAGAGTAAGTAAATTAGCTTCAAAGTTCTGTTTTTATTCAGTATTTGCAATAATAGAAATTTAAAAACTAGTCTGTATAAATTAATATTTTCTATCAAGAATGTTGCTCAAAATTCCATCTTTATCATTTGCATTCTAAAAATTCTATCAGTAAGGGTTAGTAAATACACATTTTTTCCTACTGGTATAATTCTCACCTTTATCATGCTTTTAATGTATAGATTTCAGTTTTGAACAACAGAAATAGATATTTCAGAATTCTAGCTACAGTGCATGTTAGATTCTTTGAGGTTTTTGTTGTTTTGGGGTGGTTGTTTTTGTGGGGTGTGCTTTTTCTTTTTTATCTTCTGTAGTTAAGACAGCACTTTGACAGTGGTCTTGTCTTAAATGAAAAGGGGTAAAACTGACATTTTGAACTTGATATCTTTAGCCAAAACCAAAGTATGTCAGTTCAGATAATGAGCTTGATCATAACTTCTAAAGTCACGTATGTACTGAAGTCTCTTAAAATGATGATTGTACTTAGAGTTCTGTTTTCAAATGTGATTACCTTAGAAAATACATATTGTGCCTTAGATATTCTGTGCATTAGGCAACTAATGTAAAAATGGTTTTCTCTAGAAAAAAATGTTCACAGTAATATTTACAGATCTGCTGCATGACTAATACATATTTAACTAGCAGGACATCTTACGTTATAGTCTTTTTAACATTATAGAGATGCTACTATATAGCAAGTGGCTGAATCTTGGAGTAAAGTTGATATTTTCTCCCCTTCTTACAGCTGCTGCTCCAGTTGTTCCTGAGCTTAGCAGTGATATAGACAGCAGTAATTTTGATGACATTGAGGACGACAAGGGAGACGTGGAAACCTTTCCAATCCCCAAAGCCTTTGTGGGAAACCAGCTGCCTTTTATAGGATTTACCTACTATAGAGACAATTTGTATGTGATACTTCAATATGCATTTTTAGAAATACACCTGCAGATTTTTCTTATATCCTATCAATTTTTTTCAGTCTGGATACAGAATTTATTCATTTCATTATGTTCATTAAAGTCCAGTTGTGAATATAGAAAATGCAGAGTTTAAGTAGAATATATAATTTGCTACTATTTTTGATATTTTGGTAGTTCTGATTAAACACAGTACTTTTATAGGTACAAAATTACATAGTCTCTTAAAACTTTCAGGGTTAAAATGCTGATTTGTAATTTAGTTCTAAAATGGATTTTTATGAGTAGCTTTAGAAAAAAATTTACACAAGGTAATAGCTTGCTAGGACTCAACTTGAATAGTTAAGAAATAATTGTATTAATTAAAATATATGCTATGCTATGGATTTGAAAATATATTTCACTTAAGATTCAAATCAGAAAGATACACTCACACTGAAATAAAATAAGCTTCAGAATAGTGTAGGACAAATTAAGACTTGAGAGAATTGATTAAAATGAGTTGATTGGCAAGGTTGCCAGAGTTGTTGAAAACTTGAATAGGAGCTGGAGGGATTTGTTTTTGTTTTTGACAGGTTGCTAAGTGATTCCTCTCAGTCTTGCAGAGAAAATGAGTCTGTGCAATCTAGTAAAAATGAGGTTAGTGCCTTTTTTTCCTAAGTATTAATGGTAATATTAACTAATTTTGTTAAGTCTCTTAAGAAAAGACAAAGTCTAAAATAAGTTTTCAAGAAATTTTGTAGGAGGTTTTTTGTCTTTTAATGATCCTCAATAGAAATATTTTCTGTTTACAGGACAGCAAGGAGGTGAGTATATTGTTTGAATTATGAAAGGAATGAAAAATTCCTACATAATTTATATGAATGTGAAATATCTTAAATGTTTATTCACCAAATTGCTAACAGTAAACCAGTTGTGTTTTGAAACAGTTGTACTCAAGCATCAGATATTGCAGTTTAAAGATGAATTAATACAGATTTTTCTTGAATTGTTTTGGTATCTAGAATTTTTTTGGACAATAAATGTGTAAAGCTCTGTTTGCATCAGCAAACAGTATCACTCTTGGGAATGTGGTGAATTTTGGCTCCACAGTTGCCTGAGTGATTCATAACTGATTTATTCAGAGTTTGTAAAAGTAAATTATCACCTGCAGTGATAAAGGAATGTTTAAATTGTGTTCTCAGTTGAAATGAGTGTATGGAACATGTTTATCCATCTTTTGAAGATTGACAATTGAATTCAAGTTTGCAGATGACAGGGGAATGCTATAGAATTTCATGTACTTCATTATGTTACTGAAACATTTGTATTATTCAAGTGTAGACAGTATATTATTAACATTTCTTAAAACAAAGTCCTTTTCAAAGTTCAAGAAATGGGTAAAGGAAATGTATTATGTATTGACCTGCATAATTTTAAATGCAAATGTTTATTAGACTCCACTTCATTCCTTCCTGTGATTGCTGAATAAAAGAATAGTTTTAGACATTGCTGAATAGATTAACAGTTTTAGAGTTTCTCTTTTAAAAAGAAATGCTGCTGCTGTTTAAAATACAGTGTCACATTTATTATATTTGCTTTATGTTGTGATAGTAGATGCAGTTAGTAAAATTTTGCATTTAACTTCTGACAACCTTTTTTATTCATATTTTCTCAAGCAATGAATGTCCAGTTTTGATGTCCTTTTCAGTGTCCCTGTGTGGGAAACTTCTAATTGTAACAATTATAAAGTGTTTCAGAAAACCACATTTTAACATTTCATGTTTGGTGGGTAGAGGAGGAGAGGGAAGGGAGGAAAGTAATGCATTTGAAAGCCTGAAGACATGAGATAAATCCAAAAATCTGTTCTTTAATTTATAGCATGAATATTTGGATACTTGGCTTACAAATTCTTTTTAATATTTTAGTAAGCAGAACAAAGCATTCCCAAACCTGAAAAATGTTTGTTAACTTCTGTGTGTTAGACTAAGAAATTATTCTTTATGTGAGGTCATTGAGCATGCTTAGTAATATTCTCTGAACATTGTCCAATTTGGTCATGTGCCCCCCTTTTTATTTTTTAACTTCATTTAGAAAAGACTATCCCAAAAATCCTGCTGCAGCGGAAGATCTGTCTACAGAGTACAGCAAAGGGCCAGTAACAATATTCTTTGCTCGTAGAAATTTTATGACTCACAATATGCGTCACATAATTCCCTGATGGTTAGATTTAACGTAGCATGCAGCAGATTTTGTTGCTATGGATCTGTATCTTTAAAATCATCAGGATTTAATACCTTGTGAAGACGTAACCTTCTAGTGATGATTTTTAAAATAATGTAGTAGAAGATTGAATTAATTTTCCTCACTTTCCCTTTTTTTATTATTTAATTGAATTGCACTTGTTCATGTGATACCATTTTTATATGTGGGCCTTGCTTTTTTGACATTTTACACAGTTTCAGAAAAAACTAAGCAAGCTGGAAGAACAGCTCAGTAATGAATTACAAGCCAAAGATGAACTAGAACAGAAGTACAGGTGAGACTGTTTTGACATGTTCACTATGTTTATAAAGAAGTTTTATTAGACCTTTGGGTTTTGAATGCTTAAAGGCATTTTAATCCACTCTGGGGGTTCCTGACCCTGCAAGCAGAATTTGCTATAAATTGCTGCCTTAATTCTGTTACTCCTGTGACTACTGTTTTATTTCTTCTTTTTCTTTTTTTCTTCCTTTAACTCTTCATAAGAATCTCTCTATTGTTTGAGTGATTTCCCCAGTCCTTAAAGTTTCATGTGATTGCTGAAGATAGAATATCTTAAATAAAATTAAAGAGACACATCCAAACATTCTAGTATCTGTATAATCCGCAGGGTTTAAACATATGTTTTAAAATTTCTTCAGGTCTACTAATACTCGTTTAGAGAAGATAGTGAAAGAACTAGATGAAGAGGTAAGTCCATAGTTTTTTGTACTGCTATTAGAACTTTAACATTTGTGTGTGGCTTTTTTCCTTAAGAAACACAAAATTACTTTTGAGTAGCTGCATATTTATAGCAAGCAATACCAGTTGATTTCTTGATGTTCACAAGCATGAAATTGTCACTGCTAAAATATTTTCATTATGTATTCTATATTACAACTACATATTTGTTTCCAGAATTTGTTTTTTACCATGTTTTTAATTTGGAGGACAGCATGATATAAGTATCCCATGTATTATTCTAAAAATTTAAGATGTGAGAGTACTGCTGCTAGAAGAAAGCGGCCATTCTTGGCACTGTTCAAACAGTGTCAGTAAAAGGACCCTATTTGTTGCACAGCTTTGCATCTTAGTGCTCCCACTAATTTGTCATATCTTTAGTGTATGTGTACAACTTCATGCTCATCTTGATGCATGTCAAGATCTTACATTACATGTATGTTTCTGTGCTTCTGGAGTGGCTGCTATGCAGGTTTACCACATTCATCAAATCCCAGTGTTCAAACAGTCTTGAAATTGTAAAAGCTCCTGGTTGTAATAGTCCTGGGCTGGATTTGACAACATGTTTTGATATGCTGTGTTTGAAGCAGGCAAATAGATTGTATCTTTCTCCATTACAAACTAAACTGAGTGTGTGCGCTGTCTTTTTATCATTTAAATAATACCACTCTTCTTTATGTAATTAGTGGTGGGTTTTTTTAAATATATCCAGATAACTTCAAGGAAGAATGTAGAGTCTGCAGTCAGACAGTTAGAAAGAGAGAAGGCTCTTCTTCAGCATAAGAATACAGAATACCAGAGAAAAGCAGAACATGAAGCAGATAAGAAACGCAATTTGGAAAATGAGGGTATGTTGAACCATGCTTGAAGGGTTCCGTTTTGATACGGATTTTTAAAAGATAAATTAATTATAGTTCAGATTGAAGCTTTTTCATGAGTCATTAACCATGTTGAATTGTTTTTATTATAGTTAACAGTCTGAAAGACCAGCTTGAAGATTTAAAAAAGAGGAATCAGAACTCTCAAATATCCAATGAGAAAATCAATCAACTACAAAGACAGGCATGCCAACTTTATATATGTGTATTTTAAAATAATAGCAGTAAGAATTACAGATTTTGTTAGTAGTGGAGGGGATTGAAATGTGTAATGGAGTTTTAAAAAGCTGTTCTTTGTTGTCGTGTTGGTATTAAAAAGTAATCTTAAAATACACTTATTTTTTTAATCCATAAAATCTAGTACTCTGTAGTAGAAATGGTAGTTGTTATATTTTAATTGTTGTTTCTGAAGTATGTTTTTGTCTATCTTCAGTTGGATGAAGCCAATTCTTTGCTGCGGTCAGAGTCTGATACTGCAGCCAGGTTAAGGAAGAACCAGACAGAAAGCACGAAGCAAATCCAGCAGCTGGAAGCTAATAATAGAGAGCTACAAGATAAGAACTGCCTGCTAGAGAATGCAAAACTCAAACTGGAGAAGGACTTTCTTAATCTTCAGTCAGCTCTAGAATCAGAAAGAAGAGATCGAAGTCATGGATCTGAGATTATCAGTGATTTACAAGGTATTCATGCGTATCTTTTGAAGTTAAACTGGCTTATAATTTCAGAAATAAAAATAGATTTTGGTGACGTTACGTGAGCTTCAGGTTGTGACTAGATTAGTGTGCTGTTCTATACAATATTATGCAAGTGTGGACATACATTTAAGAGAAAATGTATGATAACATTTGTCAGATGTTATTGATAACTTAAAATCACTCCAAAGGGAGATGTTCTTAATAGTCAGAAGCTGTTAGATTTGAAAAATTTAATCTCTAAGCAGATAGAGTACATTCTTTTTTCACACACTGCCCACCCTTATTGATGTTTTGGTTGATTTTAGGTCGAATATCTAGCCTCGAAGAAGAAGTAAAAAATGGAAAGAGTGCATTAGCCAAACTGGAAATAGAGAAGAGACAACTGCAGGAAAAACTTACAGATTTAGAAAAGGTAACAGCACTTCTGAGTGTACATTTGTGTTATATTTTACGGAATTTTTAAATTTGTGCTATTATTAATTGAGACATGGAGACAAAAGCTATCCAAAAAAGCCTTGTTTTCAGTCTTTAATCTTTTCGTGTTTATTTTTTTTGCAGTTTGAGAAGTGGGAGGGAACAGACATCATTTCCCTTATGATTATAATGCATTACACTTCTAAAGCACATAATAATATACTCCAGTGTGTAGCTTAACAATGCAGTAGTAAGATTTCATCTGTTGGGGTTTTTTTAAACTGTCAATATTGTAAAAAATAAAAAAGCTTCTGCTAACGTTTTTTCCAACAAATTTGTCATTGAAAACAAAAATAATTAAAAAAATTTTCAATAAACTTAATATTTGAGCTGCTCTTGTTACAGAATGTTGGTTGTTAAGGCAGTAATTCTATAATTAGAACTGGGGACATTACTTTGCCATGCACAGAAAAAACATTTGTAGAAATGAGTTCTCAGTTAGCTCCTTAGAGTCTGAGCTCTCCCTTCTGTGCCTAGCATACTTCCAACTAGCATGTTACTGTTGTCTAAAATTTTGTCTTTACCCTGATGTATTTAATGTTTTATTTCAATGTAATTTTTTCTTTAACAGGAAAAGAGCAATATGGAAATAGATATGACATATAAATTCAAAGTTATGCAGCAAAATCTTGAACAAGAAGAAGCTGAACATAAAGCCACAAAAGCACGATTAGCAGACAAAAATAAGATCTATGAATCTATAGAGGAAGCAAAATCTGAAGCCATGAAAGGTATCTATTTGGCAGTTGGACTTAAGTGTAAATTACTCAAAGTAGATAATATAATCTTACAGTGCTAGTGGAAGCCCAAGTGTAGGCTTTTTTCCTTGATTCCCTTGTTCTTTTAAAATATAATCAGTGTTGTAAAAATCAATTGTAGTCCCTTTGTCCTTGCTTTGTTAGGTTAAAGACACACTGGTTTAGTCTGAGAGTAAAATAGGTTCTCCATTGCACACACCACTTTCTGTGCTAGTGTATTCTGAATTAATTTTTCTTAATTTATATTACTGAAACTGCTTGAAACATTTTTGCTGAGAGCGTATCTGTGTTCTACCTCTTTGTGCCTTCCTAAATAAAATATAGGGCAGCAACTTAATGATTTAAATACATAGACCAGATTTAGAAATGCCAGAGCCTTTGCTACACTTCCATAGTCACTGTGCAAACTCTGGTGCATCTCATGATATTTGAAATCTCTTGGAGACAGGGGTAATTACCAAACAATTCTAGAAGAGGTTTCTCACTGTTGAATTAAATGGCTTATGTTTATTGCAGCTACGTGAAAAGCTACCTACAGATACTCATTCCAACTGCAGAGCATTTACAAAAATTTTGAGCATGTAGATGTTCAAAAGAAGCAAAAAAGATTATGTAATAATAGCTGGATCACTTGGCATATCAGGTTCCTGAACAGCTTCAACTCTTTCAAATTAGTCATAGTCAAAGCAAAACATCAGTAGGTTTAGATGGATTGTTTTTAAAAATTCACCCTTTTTATCCTATCTCAGGTGTTTTGCAGATAAACTGGAAATTATCTTGACACTCAAAACTAGGAAGTTGCTATCAGTCAGGAGTGCTTGCAAAAGCATCCTCTGGGTGTGGGTTTACTCCGAAAATGTTAATGAATCACTTTTCAGCAGTCTTCCTCTTCTTCAGTGTTAAAAGGATAAATATGTTGCTTACTGTTAATATGAGATAGACATCCTCCTCCCCTTGCCCTTCAAAATCTGCTGGTTTACACTGATTGACATCTTAAATCTCTTACTTCACAGAAATGGAGAAGAAACTTTTGGAAGAGAGGGCTTTGAAGCAAAAAGTAGAAAATCGGTTGTTAGAAGCTGAAAAGCAGCGCTCCATGTTGGACTGTGATCTCAAACAATCACAACAGAAAATCAATGAGCTCCTTAGGCAAAAGGATATACTAAATGAAGATGTAAGGAACACGGACAAAAGGAGTCTTGAGTGAAACCTGATTTTCAGTGTCCTAATATTTTCCCTGTTACAGCTTTATTTAGGAATGTTTGTGAATAAGAATGGCATCAACTCTTTCCTTCTCCGTATTTGGAGCTTTAAAAAGTCCAATTTACGGAGTGTATTTTCATTTTTCTGAAATACTTCAGTATTACTGATCTCAAAATTTTTTCTTCTGGAATGTAAAATGCTTTCCATGAGACTGACATGGAAAGAACAGCTTATTTATCGTGTTCTAATGCCTTTAGTCAGGAAACAGCTTTGATTTACCAAAAGATGTGAGCATGCTCTACAAAAATGTAGAGGAAGTCAATAAGAGACACTGTTTAAATGTTGCTTTCCTGTGTAGGTCTGTAAAATTCACAGCTTTCTGTTTATTTTTCAGGTAAAAAACCTGACATTAAAAATAGAGCAAGAAACACAAAAGCGCTGTCTCACTCAAAATGACCTCAAGATGCAAACACAGCAGGTCAATACCTTGAAAATGTCAGAGAAGCAGTTAAAGCAGGAGAATAACCATCTTCAGGAAATCAAATTAAGTCTGGAAAAACAAAACAACGAGCTCCGCAAGTATGCAGAGTTGCTCTATATTTTTTAGTAATGATACTGATTTGTAATTGGTTTTGGGCAAAAGCTGAGAGCATTATTGATTTTTAAAACTTGCTGCATAGAATATGCTATTCTACAGTGCAAAACTTGATTGTTGTTTACAATATTTTACAGTGACTCTAATTGAGATTTGCCTTAGTGATTCAGGAATGTATAGATTTGTAGTAAAATGTGGATGTTATCCGTAAAATCTTAACAAAACAAGCTTAAACACAAGAGTGTGAGGACTTCAGAGAAACCCTTCCTTAACAAAAAGTCCAGGTACTTTTTTTTACTTAAATGATGTGGGACTTCACTGAAGAGGAAAGTTACTGGCATTATTAGTCCTGGAGAGCTTATTAGCGTTGGAAACGAATACTAATACGGAGCTGTGAAGCATAACCATTGGAAATGTATAGTACTAAAGATGTTAAAACATATCTGTTGGACCTTCAAACAGAATTGTGTTAAATCCTAGCATTTCTTTAAGGTCTTAGAATACTTGCACCTGATAATATTTTTTTTTTTTTTTTTTTTTTTTACATAAACAACATTCTTGTGAATGAAAACACAAGGTTAGCACATACATTGGATGAATCTCATTCTTAGGTTCTTTCTGACTTCTGATGGTTTATCTCCTTGTGCTTTATCTTTACTGTCAGCAAGATGCAGTTATGTAGACGGTGGCTACATGTCATGGTTGCTGTAATGTGTTTCACTGGCAGAAGTATTTTCTGCTTCATTACTGTTCTTTGTTATGGGAATAACTAATTTTCTGAGTTGTTTTAGTATCAGACAAATTCAAGGAATTACACATGTCAAGGAATTTTCACAGACTGAAGTGTAACAAATGAAAGACCCAAAACAGTCTGTCAGATCAATGACATTTTACTTGGAAATAAGATTCTGTCAGTGGCTGTTTGCTTTACCAGTGTCTGACTGGTTAAACTATGTGACACTGTTGTAGTTAGTGTGTAAACTGACTTCTTATTAGTGCAGTGTTCTCAGCTTGACGAGTGAAACAGAGAGCCTGGTACCCAGAGGAAGCCACAGAGAAATCACCAACCGCATTTTGGTCAGGAGATGACTGAAGATATTAAGAGTGTGAATGGCATTTTTTCTATTTACTGGTTTGGAATATCTTAATATCTTTTAAAGTATTTTATTCCTTTCTAGGGAACGTCAAGATGCAGATGGACAAATGAAAGAGCTTCAAGACCAACTTGAAGCTGAACAGTATTTCTCGGTGAGTTTTATGCTCCTTTATACTAATCTGTTTACTAAGTACAATGTTAGTTTTTCTTCTTCCTCCTCAGCCATCAGGCATTTCACATCTCTAACCTAAAGCTAATTCTTTTTCCTGTGTCTGTCTGCAGTGTTGTCTGCAACCTTGTCATCACTTCTTGTTCTTGATCAGTGTGAAAGAGCAGTGTGAAAGAGCTCATGTTAAGAAAAGGCTCAGCTTTGGAAGGGAGTCCCAAACACAGTTCAGAGGGAGGGAGGAGTCAAGCAGTTCATTTTTCCACAGTGTGAATAATTTTCTGCATGTTTCAAGCCTTTTGCATTCAGCATCTCCCACACTTCATGGAGAAGAGCTGTGTTCCATGAATCGTTCCGTGTGACAAAACATGGGCATATAAGGCTTGGAAGGAAATTCTTGCATTACAGCTAAACTTAATAGAGATCTGTTTGGAAATTTTGCTTTATTGTGATAAGGTACAACAGAAAAAAAAATTTACTGTTGTTAAAAATCATCACTAGTATATGGAGGTTAATTTATATTAGCAGTGCATGTCGAGTCGCACTGCAGGTAGAGGCTAAAAGGCTTATTTCAGAATTAAAGGAAACAAGATTTTTCCGTAGTCTTTAGGTCAGTGAGGACTATCTGAAGTTTTAGTAGATCAAGAAGCTGCACACATTAAAGGAGAGAAAGGGAGAGTAGAAGTCAGTTGACAGCTGTGGATTATCCAGAGGCAGTCTGTTTTGAAATCCCTGCAGTAAGTCCACTTGCAGTTGTCATGTTACCTGTATTCAGTCATTTGAGTGTATAGAGAAATATAATTTTTCTTTCATTTCCTTTAGAGCTCTACATTTGTATCGATTTCACAAAACATTGCATTTCAAGTGCTTTTTCTAATCTGTTTTTCCCTTCCTCCTATGCTTTTTGCTCTTTAACTGTCACATTTGTTTCATGGATTTGTGTGGTTAAAGTCTAAATTCTGCATACTTACCTACATCAGACAAAGGTTTAAAATAGAAGAGAAAAATAAATTCATGATTTTCCTTGCTTTGGATACTTTTGATTTTCTGTCAAGTAGTGATTTTCACATTTAGAGTCTCTTTAACAGTATGTTTACAAAGATTTAAAATGTATATCATGTATCTATCTGTTCACAAATATACAAGCTAAAAAAACCCCAACAAAGTAAAATAACTGAAACATACTTGTAAATGATGATGTCTAGTTAAATTTATAGAAAGCATTGCACAATTATACTCCTCTAATGGAGTGTGTGATTAAAGAATTGCATACGGTATCATATCGTATAATTTTTTGTGTAGCTTCAAGCTAGAATATGCAAGTCATATCCTTTTCTTTCCAACTTTAAATTCTAGACTCTGTATAAGACACAAGTTCGAGAACTTAAAGAAGAATGTGAGGAAAAGACCAAACTTTGTAAAGAAATGCCGCAAAAGATACAAGAGTTACAGGATGAGAGGTAGGTTTTACTAGCTGTACTACTAATAAATTAAAGATTAGGATGTCATTTTGTTCCGTTCTTCTTCCCACCCCTTCCCCTGTAACCTGCCATTTTTAAAGTTAATAATATATGCCAATTTGCAGAGATTCCTTGGCTGCTCAGCTAGAGATTACTTTGACAAAAGCAGATTCAGAACAACTTGCACGTTCCATTGCTGAAGAACAGTACTCTGATTTGGAAAAAGAGAAGATTATGAAAGAGCTGGAGATTAAAGAGATGATGGCTAGGCATAAACAGGAACTTACTGAGAAAGATGCCACCATAGCCTCTGTGAGTAATATGAATTGTAATCTTGGTGGAGGTTTACATGAGCTTGAGTTTTATTTGCAGTTTGAGTTATCCATTGTTATTTAGCATAATTAGAGGTAAATGATATACAAGTATATCTGATGTTTAAAAATATTTATTTCCTGTGATTTTATTTTTTTTTTAAATAGCTTATGTTTCTTTCACACATCTCTCTAATCATTCTTTCTTCTGTGCTCCTGCCCCTCTTACAACTAGTCCCCTTATCCTTATCCTGGTTTCACTCTGAATCATTTCCTTCTGTCCTGTAATGCTTTCATATGCCAAATGAGTTTTGTTACATGGTGATGTGTACTTCTTGTTTTGTAGTTGGAGGAAGCAAATAGGACACTAACTAGTGATGTAGCTAATCTTGCTAATGAGAAAGAAGAACTAAACAATAAACTGAAGGAAGTACAAGAGCGTATGTATTCTCTGAACCAAATGTAATTTAATATGAAACCAGTTTTGTTCTTTAATAGTAGTGCTTTCTTCTGTAATGAGCTTTCATAAATTTTTTTAATTATCTTGCTACAGAAATTACAAAACTAAAAGAAGAAGAAGCAAATGTAGGAAATATTAAAGCACAATTTGAGAAACAGTTGTTGAATGAAAGAACATTGAAAACCCAGGTAAGCAAATGTCTAAAGGAATGAAGAGATAGTGTTCATGAATCAAATAATTTTTCATAGAAGACTTTCCATGGTAATCTATTTACATGTACCATTAAAGATTTATTCTTTTTTGCTTCTGAAACAAAACATACTGGGGTGTTTTTTAATTTTATTTATTTATTTATTTATTTCTACTGAGTGGACTTTCAGTTTAGCAAAATTGCATCTTCATGATTAGGATAGATAGAGGAACCTAAGCTAGATGCAGTCCAGCAAAACTCTTCAGTCAAATGAATTAATGTTTTACTGGTTTCCATCTTGGCTTATATTCCTCTGTCAGTTCCATAAACCAGTATATTTCTGCTTTTGTTCTAGATTTTTTTTTAGCACCAAGTGGCATTTTAATCCAAAAATATATTTTGGGCCTAGATACTGAAAATGGAAAGGAATATTTAAATGAGTAAAGTGTTCACAGCTAATGCTTACTTAAAGTGAAAATGACATCATTACCTTCTTTTCAATTTTGAGCAATACATTGAATTAAAGCAACTTTATAGTACTGTATTGCAGAGCTCTTAACTTACAGTTAGATTAAAAGTGTCTGGTCATGGATAGGAGAGAAGACTTTATTTCTTCATGATATAACTGGATTTCTTGATGTGGATTTGTCTGTCTTTTTTTTTTTAATTTTCCATGGGAAGGCTGTGAATAAATTGGCTGAGATCATGAATCGAAAGGGTCCAGTCAAACGTGGAGCTGACACTGACGTGCGGCGGAAGGAAAAAGAAAATAGGAAACTGCATATGGAACTGAAGTCTGAACGAGAAAAATTAACCCAAATGATGATCAAATATCAGAAGGAAATCAATGAAATGCAAGCAGTAAGATCCTTTTGCAAATAGAAACATTGATAGCATTTTCTGTAATTCTCATTGAATTGATACAAGCTTTAAGGTAGTATATACAGTTGCTATTCCTGAATTTCCCGTGACCAAAAGAAATATGCAGTATATGTATTCAGATTGACTGCAAAGTCTGTGTAATTTTCTACTTATGTTTTCTCTGAATAACTGAGTATTTGGATAATAGGAAATCTTGTCATTTATCCTTACAGCAAATAGCAGAAGAGAGTCAGATACGGATTGAACTCCAGATGACTCTGGACAGCAAAGACAGTGACATTGAACAGCTTCGTTCACAGCTGCAGTCAATGCACATCGGTCTGGACAGCAGCAGCATAGGCAGTGGACCTGGAGATGCTGAGGCAGATGATGGATTCCCTGGTATGTTAATTTTTATTAATATTTCTGTATTAATTGGGTTTATATCCATGTTTTACCATAGAAGCTGAAGTACTAAATTAATACTCTGATGATTCTGTGGCTTTTCATCCTCCTGTATTTCTACAGTACTATCAGCACTTTGGTAATGATCACTATCCACCTACTAACTAAATCTGTTTGTAATCATACTTCACCTTACATTTATTTTAAGAACTTACTTAAAAAAATTTTATTGTACCCCATTAAAACTAAATGGGTTTTTTCACCTTATTGTGGTGGTTACTTTGCAATTACTGTTATGTGATGAAATGTAAAACTAATACTCTCTTCTTAGAGGTTCTATTTTGACTTATTTTCTACCTTTTTCCTCCTTTATGCTTGATGTTTAGTCCATATCACTCAATCCCACACTATGGAATCCATGTCCTTTACCTACCAGCACTCTTCTACCTCTGTCAGTATTGCCACTAAGCCTTCCAGTTCTCGCATGCTTCTCGATTCTGATTCTGACTCAGAGGAAGAACCTTTGTCTTGTTCCCACAGCCCTACAGAAGTTGATAGCACAGGTGACATCCCTGAGAACTGTTTGGTTTTGTTCTTACTGTGTCCTTTTCTCTGTTTCAAAACTAACACTATTAATATATTATTAAAAAAACAAACAAACAAACAAACAAAAAACCCACCACAACCATATCTGGCAGTAAACACACTGCAGTGGAAGTAAGCACTGCCATCAAAGACATGAAAAAGTTTACATGAACAAATAATTAGCCCGTTTTCTCTAAACGTTTATAGATGCTTGCTGCCACTTATAAACCCACCATTTTTATTTAAGCATTGAATAAATTAGCCTTGTGGCCTTGTTTTCAAGGTAACCTCTATCCAGTATCTGCAGCTATTTATATGACCCTAAGATACTGGATACCAAAAAGTCAAATCCTTGTGTTTAAGTGAAGTGTGGAGATATCATAACTCCTCACCATCTAAATTTACATTATTTGTTCCCAGAAATCCAGTCTTCTAAGTATTACATTTGCCTTAATTTGAATCTTATATTTGATTTTTGTATGGTAAGACAAGCAAAATTCATTTTTTCAGATACATAAAGCATATCGTGAAATGATACGACTGGTAAAACAGAGCTTTGTTTTACTAATTCTATATTCATTTTATATGACTACATATACACTGTGTTGAACAAAACTTTACGTTTAATGTTAACGTCAGAGCCAGGTTTTTTACTTACATTTAAATTTCTGTATTTCACTTGAGGTTCCTTTTAAAGTGTGAATACATTTTCACTGAAGGCAAAACTTGTTTGGGGATATTGACATTACTTCATCAAACTAGAGTAAAGAATAATGCATTTCGTCTGGGTTTTGCTGTGAGATTTCTAATAAAAGAATCATTCATATGTAATTTTTTCCTTGTTAGCTGCTGTTGTGGTATCTGCATGGTTTTGCTTTTTTCTAAATAGAAATCATATCTAAGCTAGGACTTTTTGCTGACATTACAGCAGATTTGAGGTATGGTCATTGAGTTGTGTTGTCTTTTCCCCTCCTATTGCTTATAAGCATGTACTGTGAATATTTTGGAATATTCTGCCCTTTCTCTGATCTGTTAGTATAGAATGGACACCAGAAATGAAGAAATGTAACCCAAGACGCTAATTTTGTCCAATTTCATGTGATAGTATTAGAGATCACCGAGAAAAATAGGAAATATATTAATGCTTTTTTTTTTTTTCCCCACAACATTAGCAATACATGCTTCCTGGATCTGGGAAGGATATTTTTTTTTTTTACATCAGCATTATGATTGTATTGGGTGTAGTTGAAAGGAATAATTTAAAATGGTGGGCGTGAGGCAAAATAGATGTTATAGAACTGCTTCATGTACTTGGTATGTACATAAAAATGTGACATCAACAGCAGTGCTTACATAGAATAAGCTTTGAAGACAGTGCATATCTGAATAAATACCTTGCTTCAAGAAGTCTCTCTAGACAAAATGAGAATTGTATGAACATCTAATAACTATTTATTACACTGTGTTAAACACGGGCAGGAGCCTGCAGATACTCTCTGGTAAGAAGGGAAGTATCTTTTGCAGTTTTGGAGCATGCTTATGCTCTTTCATGGTTTTGTTTGTCGCTACGTAAGGCTTCAGTATTTGTGACTTGGAGGTTTCTCAGCAGCAGTAGAGGTTATCTGCTAAGGTGGGAAACTCATTAGAAGAATATTACTGCAATTGAGTAGTAATTCTTAGTAAAACATAGGGGAAAGAAGTGCTTATATTAAGTGTAGGCCCTAAAAATAGGGTCAAAGGCTACGTGATAAAACATATTACCAAGCACTAGGAAAAGCGTGATCCTGCTTAGCTTGTGGTTACTACTGAAATGTGTGTCAAACAACAGCTGAGCTGTTAATACTGTTGGTAAATCTGATCTGACTAAGGTGCCAGTGTAATATAAAATATTACAAGTGTGTGAAAGAGCAGTTGAATTTAAGCAAGTATTGAGGATTAGCCAAACATTACCTTTTATTGGATGGGAAAGCCTAGGAGATATAGGCAAAATTAGAAAAAATGAAACATTTACGGAGGAAAACATATGAGTTAAGATTACTAAACTTCTGAAATTTTACCCAGCATATAGAGTATATAGGTTATTTGTGGTGGTAGTTTACCTTTTTTTCTCTTGAACTGAATGTTGTATGGTCTGTACTAATATCTTCAGATGCTCTTTGACAAGGTGAAGGTTGATAGACTTGTGCATTTTAAGTCTTGAAGAAATTACTAAAGGGCATGTGTGTGCTATAATTGCAAGTTTACTCTTCCCCTTCTTCCTCGTGTCTACTACTTTTTTATGATTGCCTTGTTGGTTATTGGATGTATTCAGGAATACATAATTTATTGTGATACGTTTTGCAAGACCTTGTAGTTTTAAATAGTTCATGTTCTCATGTTTGCTCTGTGGTTTTATTATTGATCTTTGATAACTTCAAAAGTGCACATTAATCTCAAGAATAAAAAAGTTTTGTGAATATGTTCTTTAATATATATCTCTTTCAGAATCAAGATTGGAAGGCTGGCTATCACTGCCTGTTAGAAATAACACAAAAAAATTTGGATGGGTTAAAAAGGTAAGAAAACCAGATTTATGATCTTGTTTCATGTGTAGTCTGGATTTTAACCTTACTGCAGGTTTTCAATACTTTAATTTTTTTTCGATACGTGTTCTCTCATTACTTAAATGTATGAAATATGTTAGCTGGTATAGCTACATCTGAGGGGATCAGGTTAAGACAGTTGTAATATGTTAAGACGTTTTGTCCAGCCAGAGGTGAGAACAGTCTTCAGGATCTTCAAATGTTTGTATATTCAGCCATAAGCATTCCCAGCAGTATTATGTAGCTGGAATTCAGCAGAGCCTGGAAGCAGCTGCCCTTACTGATTCTTTATTGTATTTAAGAGATAAAACTAATACTCTTCTGCCTTGTGCAGCCTTCACTCATTTACTGATTTTCAGTAACCTCTTCAATGGGTCTTTGCCCAAAGAGTAACATACACGTTTTCATACCAGTTCACTTACTGCTCAGTCAAACTGTTCATTCTGGACAAAATTCTGGAAGTAGGAGGTCTTCTAGGTAACAAGTTTTTTTATGAAAATTGCTAGCAGTGCTGGTAAGTATAACAGTGATCTTTGTAAGTATGATCCCTATTAGTTCTGAACTGCATGTGTAAAGTAGACATCATAAGATGACAGTTACTCTCTCTACCTGTCCAAGGGAAAATTAAATCAGTAAAATAGAATTGAAAAGTTTTTATCTTACTTTCTAGACTTTCATTTTTATTTCTTGCTAGGTACTTAAATCTGTTTAAATACCAATTAATCTGATAACATAAATTGATTTCTCAGGTAATCAGAATTTTGTTTATTGGCAAGTCATGGAGTTAGCGTACAGTATTACTGTTGTCCATTTAGCTACCACTTAATAAAATTGTAGAAAAATACTCCTGTGACATTTTTGACATCTGTAATGAGCTGGATTAAAATGTATATTTTTATCCTTTTCTATCTCCTAACAGTATGTAATTGTAAGCAGTAAGAAGATCCTGTTCTATGACAGTGAGCAAGATAAAGAACAATCTAATCCCTATATGGTATTAGATATAGAGTAAGTATTCTCATGTGAGATGCTTTCTTCCAATTTGTCAGTGAACTTTGGAAAGACTTTGATAAAAGGCCTTTTGAGGTTCAGTCTGGGAGCACAGTGTCAAATGGGGTGTACTTTTTTAATTTGAACTACAGAGCTGGGACTTTCAGTGTCTGTTGTGATGAAGAATTGTGTTTACTGTAAGCAGTGGGTGCAGCAGTAGTGTGCTGCTCAGTCTGACGCAGGGAGCTCTGTTGAGCTCTGATGTAACTAAACTGCTTCCACTAGCTCAGCTAGACTTACCTCATATACATGTTGTAGCAAAGAATGTTAAGAAAACTATAGCAGAGTGGCTGTAATTTTCGTGTTTGTACATTGTCACTTGGAACATGCTTTTATAGGTGGGTGGTATAGTTAATGTATTTTCTTAATGAATTCAGAATGTGGATGTTCAGAGGTTAGAGCATGGATTCTGCTAGAAAGCTACTGGCAATCCTTCAAGTCACATGATTTTTTTCACAAATACAGCTGCATGCTTGTGCCTGCTTTTTATTTAGGGTTTTTGGAAGTTCATATGTAGGATTGAAAGATAGGACTTTAATCAAGTGATGAGAAATTTGTACTGACAAATCTTTAATGGCTCTAGGTCTTAATGTTGTATATTTTATCCTAACTTACTCTGTTAATTTAAATTCATCATTTTGGTAACATTAATTTTCTTATTGAAATAATTTCCTATAGCAAACTCTTCCATGTCCGCCCAGTCACTCAGACTGATGTGTACAGAGCAGATTCCAAGGAAATTCCTAGGATATTCCAGGTATTCAGTAATAAATTAATATTTCTAGTGTAACAAACGTAGTATTTCACACATTGTCAAAAATATTTTCATAACTTTGTCTAATGAAATACTTACTAAAAAATTATTGGGGAAAAAATTGATTCCAGTGTAATTATTCAGTCTTTTGACTAAGAGATTTACATTTGTCATCTAGGAGTACTGAGATTGTTTTACTTTGGTTCTAGATTCTATATGCTAATGAAGGAGAGAGCAAAAAGGAACAGGAATTTCTTGTGGAGCCCATGGGAGAGAAATCAAATTACATTTGTCACAAAGGACATGAGTTTATACCTACTCTTTATCACTTTCCAACCAATTGTGAAGCTTGTATGAAGCCACTGTGGCATATGTTTAAACCTCCTCCTGCTCTAGAATGTCGCCGTTGCCATATCAAATGTCACAAAGATCACATGGATAAAAAAGAAGAGATTATAGCACCTTGCAAAGGTAAACAGCAAGTATTTGAATATGCACGTAGTCACAAGGTGGTCTCATAGATTCAGAGGATTCTAGTAATGGTCTTACACCTGCTAAACATAAACAGGTAGGTTTTTCTTAAATTAGTATGTAGCCATCAGAACCTTTCTAAGGGTGTCTACATGAGGATCAGCTCCCTGCTGTGAGTTAATGGCACATGGCCAGTATAGGTACATACACATGTTGTGTTGTAAAGCATCGTAGTTGTAAGGCTGCTCACACTGTGTGTTGTGCTGCATTGCTGTGCAAAATGATAGTGTGAGTGCATGTTATGAAATAGATGACATAGTGAATTTTGTTTGTTGTGACTCACATTACATAGTTTCTTGGGATCAGGCACCCTTCTTTGTGTTACCGTTCCCTGATTTTCACCATGTGAGTGTGTGTCTTCCATAGTACTAAGTTGTTACCCTCTAGATCTAAGGAGGAGGGACTGTCAGCAGCCTGGAAACCTGGTTTGGAAAAATCTCATTCACTTTGCCTTTGATTTCTCTGTTGATTTCTCTGTGTGTTGACTGTGAGGGTGTGGTAATCTGACAACTAATTTTTGATGTGGGGACACGTTTAGCATAATACAATATTCTTATTTAAAAAATTCTTATTGCAGTCTACTACGATATTTCAACGGCAAAGAATCTACTACTGTTAGCTAATTCTACAGAAGAACAGCAAAAATGGGTGAGCCGACTGGTGAAAAAAATACCCAAGAAGCCTCCAGCACCAGACCCCTTTGCTCGATCTTCTCCCAGAACTTCCATGAAGGTACAGCCAAACCAGTCCATCAGACGACCAAGTCGACAGCTTCCTCCAAACAAACCAAGGTGTGACAGAAGAGCTGCTATTTAATTTATTGCTTTAAACAATTTACTACAATTAATGTTGTATATGTTAATAAGGATAATTGACCACAAATGTCAACTACTGACATGTGATCTAGCATGTCTTTTATAAACCTCAGTTAAGTTATAAGAAGAGCACTTATATTTGTTCCCTTGTTTAAAGGACCTTGTGTTACCTGTTAGTTAAGCCTACCATACTGATAGTCTATCCTATTGCTCTTACGTGTAATAGGTAGAACCTATAGCATCATCTGAGCCTAATAGTTCCTGTAAAATGGCAGCTGGTAGGGAAAATGGGGTTTAATTAGGCAAAGAGTCAGTGAGAAGGGTGTGAAAATTTAAAAAAAGAAAAGAGAAAAAGGTTTAACATTTTTCAAGATGGCCACTACTGTACCTGATTTGAAATTGAGCAGTGAAGTGCTTGTGGTTCTAATGAACCTTGGAGAGAATTAGGTGCCTTCAAAAGGCAGTCTAGAAGGCCTTATATGTAGTAAAAGACTACATGTCTTTTTGTTTCTTCTTGCTTGATTTTGAAGCATGTGTTTGAATTCCTGACCTGCTCTAAGGTTAGACACCTGATTGTGGATTTGTATGTTAACGTGTGTTTCATCTGACCAAATGTATGTATCTCTGTCTGACTCCATTTACAGTTGATGTTTAGGAAGAGTTAGTTTCAGTATTCAGTCCTCCCAGTGTATGAACAGCATGTTCTTGTACATCTACAGTGAAGAGCTACTTCAGATGACTCTCACTTTTGCACCTCTGCCCATGTGGGTTCCACAGCGTGGAGCCCATTGCTGCAGTGGTAGGCAGCTGTCTGAGCATCACTCATGCTTTTTGAAAGAGAGCAGGAAGGTGGGAGGGGGGGGTGGGTGGTGTCACCATTTGGTCAAGTAGCTGAGCACTTACCAAAGGGTGGGAGAATTTGCTTCAGTTACTTATTCAGCCTAGAAGGACTCATGCACATGTCTCACGATTCCTAAAAGAATAATTTTAATAAGTTGTTTTGATCTGGGAAAAAAAAAAAGCGTACGAAAACCAGTAATGTATTACTGGATCAGTTTTAAGGAGCAAAATCGTGTACTGCATTGTGTAAGTGAAAACATTCTGCAAGTAGTGCTTATGTGATTGCACAGTATGGGATTTCTAGGTGTTTTTCACTTTGCCTTTTTCATCACCTAGAATACTAGCTAATACTTGGTTATATCAGTCCCGGGTTGCTGACAGCCTGTGAAAAGTTTGGTCTGAGTTGTTTTGTTTGTTGCAGTATTCCAGCAGCAATGGACAGTTCAGCAAAAGCTTAACATTTTCCCCTGGAGAGATAATTTGGCAGTGGTTGGACAGTATTTAGCTCCTTGTTTCTGTGACCAGACTGCTACCACTATCTAAGCTGGCTGGTTGAAAACTGTATTGGGTGAGCCACCACAGTGGGGGGAATGCAGCGTAGTGTGCTCTTACTGTGATGCTGCAGTTACCACAAAACAGCCTCATGCTACAAAGAGTTAGAGCTTAAAAAAATGCTAGTATTTTAATGTGTGGAAATGCATAGTGAAACGACTCAAAGTAACTTAATTTCACTTTGCTCCTAACTCCATACAGTCTGATTTTTGGTGATTTATTTTACATATTTAAAAGAAAGTCAGAATTTAAAATTTGAATTTTAAATTACTAGATTATTTTTTTTTTAATCATAATCATGCAAGTAAAAAGTTTTTTAGTCACTGCTTTTTAGGGACTGATTATTGAAGAGTTTCTTTGCAAAAGTAGCCAATATATTAATGATTGGATTGAAGCAGGAATTAAGGAAACATTCATGGGGGACAATTAGAATGCTTTTCTTCTGTGTAATGTTTACAGTCTACTTCAGTAGTGTTACTCTCTTTCTTACTGTTGACAAAGAACAGGTCTATTATAAATTATGATTCTTATTCCACAGCAATCCTTAGGTGTTCTGAAAATAATTTTTCTCCTTCTAATGCCTTTCTTTCAATCTTCATGACCTTTTTTATAAAATGCTTTCATAACGCAGTATTTATTCTTACCATTCTTTTAAGTTGTGGTTCTCCTCCACCGTGAATCAGTCTTGAATTTTTTTTTCTATGTATGTATTTTTCTATCTGTATGTTTTATAATGGTGGGAAAAGGAGAAGGATGAATATTTTTGTGTGTAAACCGTTTTATTTTTTGCAGTTAAACTTTCCAAGTTAGTTTTGCATATACACCTAAGAGATGGAAAAGTGTAGTTCTGTGAGGTCATGTCACCTGTCACCTTACTAATGCAGCTCTGTCAAACCAGTGGAAGTTTGTATGGATTTAAATACTTCTAATTAGAAACCACATACTTATAAATTACTGTAATTGCTATGGCCAATTTATATCTGACTTGTGCTTCTATGAGGCTTTTGTGCAAGGTCTTACCATTTGGAATAATTAATTTTTTTGTTATGAACTTGATTAAGAATGAAAATGCAGTTGCCAGTTAAATCTGGGAACTGGGTGGCTGGGGACAAGTTGGAGATAAGCCAGCAGTGGAACCCTGGCAGCAAATGCTGTCCCTACTAGGAATTTCACACAGTGATTGTTTCTCCAAGGTTTTCATGGCTGTTGTTCTTTGTGATGGTTTGACAGGGCAAACCTGTTTTTGATACAGAGCATACAATTTATGCTTATCCATTCAGAAATCAACTTTAACATATTTCAATAGCCATAGCTCATATAGTAAGTGAATATTGAGCCTTTTCAGGATATATCAGATTTAAAAGTGTAAAAACTTTTAAAAACTAAAAACCCTGAAACCTATTTTGTTTAAAGCATGCGATGAACTGCATTAAACACAGTAGCATGCTTTAGTTAAAACACACTGAACTTTTTTAGGATAAGATTTCTATCTCTGCCTCTATGGTTGGCATGTAATCCTGATTTAAAATCCATTTTGCTTACTGGAGAGGTGACTAGACTGGGTTTCATTTCTTGTAGCTATGACAGTTGAGGAGTTAGTACTTAAGATATTTGTCTAAGATCCTTTGATAACAACAGAAAGAGATGAATGCTTCTAGACAATGATTCATCCCATCCCAAAATAAATACCTAAAAGAGGCAAAATGACTCATTTACTGACAAGATTTGCCTTGCCTGCTTTCTTTGTTCTATAGCGACCATAGAAGGAATGCAGACAGCAATGCATAGAGAACAAGTTAATATGTCCTCTTTTTTGGCATTGCTTAGCTTTAAATAGTGAGCTACAGGATAGCTGGATAGTGAAATCCCACTGTGTATTTGTTTGTAAATTCAGTTGATGCTATTTTATTTGATGTTCTGTTCAGCAAAGTTACTTTATGGGAAAAATTGTTAGCCTTGTGTTACTGTCTGGAAAGGGGTAGCGGGAGAGCATAAAACTGCACCTCAGTCAACCAGAACAGCAGCAAAACAGAAAGCAGCTAATTTTATGAAATGTACATGTTGGTCTTTTCTACTGAAATATTTTTGGGAAAAACTCAATATGGTAAGTGTTCATACAACTGAATGATTGGTGAGATAAATTTTGAATATTCCTGGCTTGCATGAACACTTAACTGAATCTTCATATTCCATGATAGGCAAAGGAATGAACCCACCTTAATACAGTCTTTACTTGAAAGGTTTAGTGATAACAAATGGAATATTGAAGTCTTTTATAGAAGCGTGACACACATTAAACATCAAACCCTCCTGTTGCAGATTACTTGATCTGGCATTTAAGGACTGGGATTGGTCATTTGATGATGTTGATGATATTGATGGTGATGATGATGACGATGTTTTTGATTTCTGAAGAAGTATAAGGGGTAAATCTAAATAGAGAGGAATGGATTTGTTTGCCTTTGAATACAGCATGCTATGTTGGATTTTGTTTCTCAAAGCCAAGAAAATACAAGATCTCATTTTAATATTTTAAACAGTAAAAATGAGATTCTGTTCATGATGTTGATGAATTTTTAGAGGAGTCATTTTCATTAAAATGAAGTTGTTGCTTTTGTCAGTGTTTTTGTTATTCTAGTTTTAGATCTTTTTTCAAATTCATGTCTGCCTGCCTGAAAAAAAAAAATACTGCTGTTGTCAGAGTAGTTGGTCATCTACAGTGCTAATATTGCTAACCTTTGCATATAATTTTTGAATGCTAAAAGGGAGATTGTTGTACTTGGATGTTTAGCTGAAATAGAATTGGTATTTACAAATACTTTTCATTTTTGAGCTTTTAATATAAACTGACTGTTCTATGGCTAGCAGACATGAAATCACCGGAGTTCTGCATTTTGCCTTTTCTACATGTGTTATGAAGTGAATTTGACTTGGCTTTCCTTTGCAGTGTTGTGCTTTTCTAACCATGCATTTGAAAACCACGTAAACAAATGGGCTTTGCAGCTTCTGTGACACAGTTTTCTTGACTGCTTTACAAAAAATACGGCCATTATATTGATCTAATTTGTCCTGTGGCTCACTTAAATATGCAGTGCAAATGTACTGGAAATAGTGATAACACTTTTATAGTTCTCAACGTTTAATCATTATACATGTTGATGAAATGTTATTTTTACACAGAAAAAAACACATAAATGTTAAGCTCTTAAGAATTCCTTTAAATGGTATGTAAGGTGTGCCTCAGCCTTAGAAAGGAACAGGCGATGACAGCAGCACTAGGGCTGTCCCTCAGCTGTGTACTCAATTAACTGAGATGCCACCTCTTGTAGAATTTAACTGGCTTAGTGTTTACAGTAACAAGCATTATGTTAATTAAATATACTGCATCTTTATGTATTAAAAGCTTACAGTTTACTAATCTTTTAGAAGTGACTGTTAACGTTGTGTGATTTTTACCCTCATATATTACAAGGGGGTTTATTTGATTTGGGATCATCATGTGTAAGGATGTACTATACTTAAGTAATGATGCTGTTGAATGCAAAGGAATGACATTTCTTCTAAGTATGCTGATGAGCCCATCTTAAATGAAGACTTTGAGGAAGTATATTATTGTCGGATTTACATTTGCTGCATTTACTGACCAAACTTCCTGCTTCTTTTTCAGCTAACTGCTTTCCGTGAATGCAGACACAATTCAAGGTGATAATTTTCTTCCCGTTACGGCAAGACTGAAACATATCCCAAAATATATTAAAAATATATATTTTCCTGAGAGATTGTGCTATATATATCAGAGGTTTACATTTTTGCTGCAATATAAATTACTAATCTCTGAGGGTTTTCCTGTATTCCCCTGAGTGACTGATCAAATGAGGAATGGTTGGTAAATAGTAAAAGGATGTTAGGTAATCTTTTAAACTCTGTTCCACAAAAGCTTTCTTGGCAAGACACATACACTACATTTCATAAAAGGATCGAGAAGAATGAATATTAAAATGGAAGATACTGACTTTTCAGCTTTCATAAAGATGCCACCAGCATGCCCGCAAAAACAGGAGGAAGATCCACCATAGTGATATAGACTGCATCTGTAAGAAGTGACCATTATACTGTGTATATATATTGTACTGTAATACTGCAAGAGGGTTTTAAAAATCTTTCCACTTTATTTTTTTATGCTTATTAATCAGATACCGTTACTTATTGCAGTTGCAACTATGCACTTGTATAAAGCCATAATGTTGAAGTTTATACCATTCATACACGTCTATCAAAAGCTGCATGTCAGTGTTCAGCAGCTAGTATAAGTTTGAAGTATATGCTAGTTTCAGCTACGTCATCATGGGCAGTCCTGGTTTATCTGTCTAATTGCCTTAATTTAATTTTTTTCAAGTTTTTTGCCCGTTCTCTCTATTTAAGGAAAAAAGAAGGTTTACCAGCTCTTAAGATGCAATTTTGCTTTGTGGCAGAAAAAATAGTGCACTATTTTTACACCTAGTAAGTATATCAATGTCAGCCTATTTTGAATGTATATCAACTGGTTTTAAGGGTGGAGAAGTGTTGGTTACAGAAACAATGTCTGATACCATTGGAATTACTAGACCATTTGCTTGTACATGTAACTGCTCATTCAGCCCTTTTTACAAACCTCAATATTAGTTATTGACTTATATTAACCCTCTGTTAAGTGCTATGAAACTTCATTTTGCCTTGATTTTGCATACTCTCCTAGATGTGTTTTTTATTTCTGGGGAAAAAAAAAATAATCTGTGAAAATTTTTACATTTCACAAAACAATATCCAAGGACTGTCACAATCTAAGAAAAGTAAACCATACTGTAGATGTATTTTAAAATTTTAAATCTGGTTCTCTAGCACATAGCTGTAGGCATAGATAAATATTTCAGTAGTGTGTTTTGAGAACTGATAGCTGGGAAGAAAGCGCCTCAGAGGCACTTAATCTGACTTTTTTTTTTTAACTTGGACTTGTACAAAAAATATAATTTATGTGGGCTCATTCATGATGTGTTCATAATTATCCCAGAAAATGCATGTTTTATACAACTACAGTATGCGATGTTAAACATATTGACAGTAAAAAATGTAGTCTCCTATTTGGTCTCTTTATATATATAAATATATATATATATTTAAAATATATATATATAAAATATTGTGTGGGAGTGCAGTAATTTAAAATATGATCTAACACTTCAATGAAGGAGGACATTTCACTTTAAAATTTTGTTTGTTTGTTTTTGTTTTTTAAAGAGTGTTGAAATGTTTGGAAGGATAGGACCATGATTTATTTAACACTATCATGAAAGGTGGACTTGGAAACACTGAAATACTGAAAATTAATAAATATATTTACATTTTGTAACCTCTTCTACAGTTCAGCTTAACAGAGCCAGAATGTATTCCGTCTTCTATTTATGCACTCGCAAAGTAAAATGTGGTTTGTGAGTTCTTAAATTAAAAACTAAAACTTTCATATCATTGCTGTTAGGTATTATAACCCAGCACACAGCTACAGGTTTTTTTCCCTGCTTGTTTTAATTTACAGAAGTACGGTATATTTTTAGGTAATGCAAATTTGCATAGAGTACAACATTAAAAATGTATACAGTAAAACTGTTTCCATTCACTGAATGCATAAATATTTTATATATATATAAAAAAAAATGTTACATTGTGGGAAGTTCTATCCTTTTCTGAATTGGAGAATATTATATATATATATTTTTAAATAAACTATTTGAGTAAGGTAAAGTAGTTCCTGAACTTGAGAAGCTGATAATTAATTGAAATATTTAAATATATAGCCAACTACTGCGGCAGATATGGGAAAGGCAAGGGTTACTCGAAAGGAAGCCAAGCAAAGGCTGTGTGTGGAGGAAGCACGGGCTTCGAGAGTCCTCTTTTGGCAGGCCATCAGGTGCTGGGCCTGGATCTGTTGCACTTATTCTCCTTGGCTTGCCCTCAGTTACTGTGAATCCCTGGGGCCCCGTTAAGCCTGACATTTTAGGAAATGTACTGTATTAGAGTATTTACTAGCCACAGTTTATACATTCTATACTTGTACAAATAGTTATTAGCCATACATGCAGCAGGCTGTATTGAGATGGTATCGTAGGATGAAACGGGCTGATAAGGGAGCACTGGAGGTCCTCACAGCAGGGCTGGCTCAGCACAGGTTCCTCAAGGCTTTTGAGGTGTCAGTGCCCCTCGGGATGGAAGTATCGTAGCACTCATCAGTTCTCCTTCATGCAGTTTGTTGCAGAACGAAGGAGCATTGTGGGCTGTGTTGAGCTGCATTGTGATGATCATTTGGCCAATACAATGATGTGCACAAAGCTTGTTTGGTACCCAGGACACAAAAGGCAAAGCTGCTCTTCTGTTCTTCTCACTTGTCCTGCTTGAGAGAGCTTCCAACTGCTGATCTGTGGAATGCAAAGAACTTTTAAACATTAGTTCCTGGACATTGTGTTGTTTCCTTATTGTCCAATGGTAACCTTTTAAAATTTTTGAGAGAAGAACTGAGGAATATTGGTCTTAAAGTCAATGATGTTTAAACACTATTTTTGTCACGGGACTGTCCCAGCAAACAGGACATATTTATGGCCTGGATGACTTTATCTATAGAAATTTTTACTTTGCAAGTCATTTTTATCACAAGAGTAAACATATAGCATAACCAAGCTGCAGATTAACCTTCTGGAAAAAATCAAGGGTCAAACTTAGAGCCAGAAGCTCAAGACACTTGTAGGGAAGTTGCTCTTTGGTTCCCATCCAAGAGCTCACTAGCACAGAGGCTGGACAGGAAGACCCCATCAGAGTTAACCTGTCAGTTGTCACAAAGGCCTTTCTGCAAGGAGATTTCCATTTCTGTCCTAGTTGTGTAATGCAGTTTCCTGCTTCTAGGGGTTCCTGCCAAAGCTCAACTCCTCACAGCGCTGCCAGCAACCCAACACCAAGTCTGCCAACTGAAGGAGTCATAGTGGTTCTTGTGCTTCATGGTTGATGCTGTAACCAAAACGTGATGTGGACAGTAGTACCACATAGGACTTGGAAATGTGCGAAAGGCACAGGTGTCTTGGCAGTCAGTGACAGTGGCCAAAACATCACTGAAGTTTTCACTGCAAGTGTCTAAATCTCGTACTACCTCTGTTGAATACACTGAACCCCCTGTATTTTTGACAGGCATTCAGTGACTCTCTGAAGTCACCACGGCCAGGAAAGCTGCTGCTAGAAATTAAGTGCTTTCTCTCTTTAGTTTTTCAGGCAGTGCCGGATGATCACTACCAATTTGAGCATTCATGTGTATAGTCTTACATGTATTAGCTTCCCACCTAGCTTTGTGAGAATCATCCACGGAAGAGGATTTATATATCTTGGTCTCACCCATCCTGTGCTTGTGAGGTTGTATTTGGGATGCTGCTGTGAAAAGGGGAAACTTGTATGAAAAAAACTTTCTTACCTCCATTGTTCTTACAAACATTTACCACCTCCTTATTCCATTTATAAGGCAGGAGAAACAGCAGTCCATGGCCCAGTTCAGGGAACTGGAGTATTTCAGTCTTCTCCACATTCCTGGATAGTTTTCCTTGGCATTTGTGTTTAAAATGATGATTCATTTATTTTTTCATAGAATATCTGGAGTTGGAAGAGACCCATAAGGATCATTAAGTCCAAGACCTTGCTTGTTGAAGGAATGCCTAAAAGTAAACCATACAACTAAGATCATCATCCAGATGCTCCTTGAATTCTGACAGGCTTGTGCCTTGTCAGTGGTCTTCAGAATAGTTTAGGGACTATCATCTCTGCATATACTACACTTTAAATTGAAAACATTATAGGATCATCTTAAAAAATAAAAAATACAGCATTTAGGGGATTATGGGTTTTTGCTACTGCTTTGAAGTATCTGTCATGAGAGTGGGAAGGAGTATTATTTTGGATTTCCATAAAAGATGTTGATGGAGTGGTTCTGAAACTAATTGGTGTTCTTTGCTGAACTTGCCTATGAAGTGGACAATGATGTACTCAGACATGCTCAGCTGAGAAATTACACAAGTCTACTGAGAAGTATGTGGCAGAAAAGAACACTCTCCCCAAAACCTACTGCAGTGAATGGAAGAGCTCATTGTAAAACCATAGCTCCAGTAAGTGGGGACTCGGAGGAACTGTGATTTATTAGCACTGAGATACTAATTACCAGGCCTCATTGTGAAGATTGGGGCTCGGTAGGCAGGAAGCAGTGTTTTCAAGGGTAAGAAAGTCAAGTTACTACCTGATACTTGCTATTGTAAGTGTGAAGCTAGATTTGACCACAGCTGCTTTTGCTCCAGTAATCTTGGAGAAGCATCAGGATTAAAATCAAAAAGGGAAGTCACAGTGAAAGGTGTCAAAATTACAAAGTTATAAGTGTATGTAATAGTCCTGCATACCTCAAAGAAATCTGGAAAGACACATTCACCCTGAAAAGAAAGGGCAGTGTGTGCAGCAATTGCATGTCCCTGCAGCCCTTTTCAGGTTGCTTGGAGGAGCTATGTAGAAATGCTTTCACAGCCAAGGCAACTGCATGTGATGCTTCAGTGATGCCACCCCATTCTGAGGTCTAGGCCTTCAATATTTGTTCAGAGATGTGAGCCTACTTGTATGTGTAGTCTTCTGTTACCAGGTCCCAGTGTGCCTTTTGGGTCCTCCAGTTCTTGTCTTTTGTCAGTGCCCTTGCTAGGTCTTTGGGATTTTTTTTTCTTTTTCCCAGGGTGCTGTTGCACCCCTTGGTAAGCATGGCAACTCAACAAGAAGTACATTAGGCTTGTGGGATGACTTCCACTTGTCCTCTTTTCCTTTGACTTGCCAACTCTTCAGACTTTTAAGCACTGAATTGACATGTTAGCAATGTATCTAGGATGTGTGCTACTTCTTATTAACGAGTGAGTTGGTGGAAAAATTTTTTGGAGGCATCTAAAATATTTAATACCTTAACTGGTTTAAGGCTGAAGGAGCCAGGAACACCACTGTGAACCATTTTTCACATTCCCTGGCCTTAGTGTCATCTCTTGCCTCAACTGTGTTCCATTTTTTGAATAGGCTCTCTAAGCTGATCTTGTAGCTATGGGCAGGTCTGGCTGCAGCTTCAGGGCTTGCATCTGCTTGCTGGATCCCGTGACCTCACATGCCTGCGTGATGTTGTCCAGCATATTACAATCCCCATATACTGGGGGCCAACTGAGATTCAGTAGGGGTCTGTGTAGCCACTTGTCTTCTCTGGAGCGATGGAAGGGTTTGATAAATACAGTAAGGAATCTCCCCTACATGCTTCATACACCGCTCAGAGCTACAGCAATGGTAGTTTTATTACTGGGAAGGCGTATGTGCAAGCATAAAATAACCATCAGCACTGAGAGGAAAATGTCTTTCAGCTCAGAGAGACCATGAGGACTGTAAGTCATGCTGACTGCATTTCAAGGAACACAAAATCACTCAAGATAAGTCACTGTCTTGGAAGTCAGCTCAGTGCAATATGTATGAAATCAGTTGCTCAAAGGTGAAAGAATTTCTTTAATTGGGTAACTTTACATTTTACACAAGTTCAATTTGTACATCTTTAGACTCCTGATTTACGTGACAGGGGACACCAAGGCACAGGAAGCCTGTTCTTCCATTTATGCTTTTCATATTGTATGAGACAGGTCAGCATCTTGCTGCTGCTGGCCAAAGCCTCCAAGTTGAGAAGCAGAAACTCTATATCCCAGAGTAGGCATGTACACAGTTGATTCACAATTACAATAAGGTGGCAAATAGGATTTATTTTCAGCATGGAATCATGTTACTATTCAGTTTGAATTATAATCATTATTAGCTAACTTTTCTTGTCACGTTTTAGGCTGGTGCAGGTTCTGTCATTTAAATTAGTTTCCAGAGTATTTCGACAGATAAAACAAGATGTCTTGTTTTGACCTCTTAAAGCTCCCTTCCTATAAGTCAAGAATACCACATACTGTACAGAAGTACTTGTTTAGGCCACTGACAATTTAAGACAGTTATAAGCTGAAATAATGAAACAAAACAGGGCATGAACAAAATTATTTCAATTGTGCTTTATGTATCCCCAATTAAATTTCATCAAGAGTATCATGTAGTGTAAAAAACCTCTTTATTTTACCCCTGGTCCAAAAACTGGATTATTTTCCAAGACAGAGCTGGTACTTGCCCCAAGCCACTTCCAAGGTAGAATGGAATAATTAACATCTTTAACTTGAAGAGGTCTATATGTCTGTCTTGCCATCAGGCAGGAACACCCGAGGTCCATGAGGACTCAGGTCGGTCAGACTGCCAGGGTCTTGCAACTGGATCCAGCACAAGTGATGGAGCTCGCAGGTTCTTACAGTGATGTTTACCGTGGCTCCCAGACACATATTTGACATCAAGATCCATCATTCTGATAACTTTAAGTATCTTAGAGAGCTCTAGCTCAAAATTAAGCAAATTAAATTCAGTACACACCAAGAATTCAGTAACATCCTGTATTTTAAGCTTTTTTTTTTCAGCTTCCTGCCATTGCAAATAGGGACATCCTTAGACCATTATTGTTGATGAAGGCAACATTTCATGTGTTGCTTCATACATAAATATGAATCTCGAGTATTGAAGAATCTGGAAGGGAATAGAATAAACCAGCCTGAAAAGACTTAGCAGGGAAGTAATTATGATTTATCATCACATGGCTGGGAAACTACCTCATTTTGAGCTGATCTCCACATCTGTGTAGCTTTTCATTTATAATAGTTCTTCCTGTGGGGTCTGAGGTGTCATTTCCTTCCACCCCACCCCCCC